CATACTTTCCTTTTTAATTTAGTGTCTGTAATATCCTTGGTGCTCTGATATTTTGATAACGATTTAAGAATGAATAAAATATGTTATATTATAATGCAATATCCTCTCTCGTAAAGATATTTATCAACATTCATGGGAAAGAAAAAACGTGAGCCATAATAAGAGTTATGTGAAGAATTCTAATGTAATGGAAGTCCTGTATATTGAATTGCATAATCTGTCGCACATTCATTAATTGTAGTAACATTGACATACTAAATCCTGCTGGATAATAAATGAGATCGAATAAGTACCTCATTATGATATTTTTGAACTTATCGTACGGGATGTCCAGTTATAAATTATTCATGATATCCATACGTATGTACATTTATTTCACCAAAAGGCCTGATTCTGATCGCTGGGTAAATCCAAAGAACGGAATGGGGAAGTTTTCATGTCATGAATTTTCATCAAATCAGTTCTATATTGAGATGCTTTATGTTTTTGAAATCAATAATGAACTTCGAAATTATTTAAATCATTTCTGTTTTCGACCTGGAGTAATTAAGGAATTTTCTTGCGGCAATTGATGATGAGAAACCTTATGGATGGGAAACACAAACAATCATAAACTTAATTCCCATTATCTAAATCAATCAAAATCAAGAAAAGAATTAACGAATGAATAGAAAAACGCGCATAGATTCTTGTTTGATATGAGCGATTCTTAATTTATCAATAATTCACATTATACGTACGATACCCGTCACCGGAAATTGACTTAGGTCAATAATTTTGAATACAAACTTTTATATAACTTCACGCCATCGGATGGAATAAAAAAAGACGTTTTTCTGCAACCGACACAAAAGTCGTCCATTTTGATACCAAAATTAGCTCTTAAATTGACGTTTCTATTACTGACACAAAAATAGGTATATTGCTAGGCAACATATTTAGTTCCTAGGAGCTAAAGTTGAATTTTAGTTCCTAGGAGCTAAAGTTGAACTTTAGCTCCTAGGAACTAAAAAGGATGTACTGGACGTCTTCAAGAATAAACAACATTGTGACGGTTGGGTATTTGGGTTGAGACGCATACCTGATTTGTTTCCGATTTCAGCAGATTTATCATTTCATCCCCATGCTGGAGATATAAATACACCTTATTATAGTTTAGTATTGAAATCATAAACATCTCAGTTAAGTATTTTTGTTTTGATCAGGGAAGCCTTCAAGATTCAAATACTTGCGTGATCTGTATTTCATTCGTTATTCTCGGGATGGATAATTTGTTTTTGAATAATCACGGCAAGCAATAGTTTTTTTGTCTCAAACAACGATATTGTTTAGCTTTATTTGGTTATCAAGTCAAACACAGTGTAGTATGGAGAGGAATAAATAATCACTATTATCAATATTATCATTGTTGATATGCCCACTAACCTAACATTTTCCACGTCTTGTTCCTATAGCTGGCACTGGGGCGGTATTTGCCATTAGAGCACCTGGTCCATACACAAATATGTCACTCTGTGGTTGTATTTATATTGAGACTACAATTCGAACATCCTAGAAAACCTAACCTGCTGTTAATGCAGGTAGAATATTCTCACCACATGGATTATTTGTCAATATTTGCTGCATTGCATACATATGGCACGGCATTGGTGGTTACTTCACATGTTTATTTGAATTAATTGTTTCGGTTGCAGAAAAAATAGCATGTTTCATTCGGATCAAAAGTGACTTTGTTCGACTCGCAAATTTTGCTTTCGCTCGGCTTCGCTAAACGCTCCGCCTCGCAAATGCAAAATTCGCTTGTCAAACAAAGTGTCACTTTTGATCCTAATAAAACAATCTACTATTTCAATGACATATCACAATTGGACATTCGTTTAGAAAATGGCGGCGGAGGAGACATTTTGAATAAAATCAATATGACGACACTGTCATCACTCGAATTTTTTTAAAACAACCTATATAATAACATAGCAAATAAACGAAGCACTTAGATCAGTTCATGATGAATCATGCGAAAATTTTGATTTATCGCCAATCAGGATTCCATCGTAATTCTTTCAAATGACAGTCTTTCTCTTGTATTTTCTCTCAAGCTTCAAAAAGGGAAAGGTAGTTATTACAAATTAACATCAAAATGAAGTAAGTTATTATGTACAGATTGTCAATGAATATCTTGCTAAAATATCACTGCCTGGGGAACCAACAACCTAATTGAATTCAATAACGCAGCCAAAACTCTAGCCTGTATTATTTCTAGGCGGAATTCAGTAATCAGTATGCCTGATATTCCCACCAAGTTAACTATATCTATGCTTGGTGTCTTCATCAGAAATACTCTTTCATGGGATTATCATGTCAGATCCATCGCGAAAGATGCTTCACAAAAACTCGGATTTTTATTCCGTGCCGAAAGCTACTTTACACCTTCTCATGATTCACAAAGCAAAGATACGACCTGTTCTAGAATACTGCTCTCACAAATGTGGTTCAGCACATGTTGCTCTTTGATTCCATCCAGAGAAAAGCCATTCACTTGGTGAGTGATGCGACACTCACTAACACATTGACATCATTGGAACACCGTTGAAAGGTCGGCCACCTTCCACGTTTTTATAGATACTTCCACGGAAAATGTTCTTCAGAAATCTCTGCTATCATTCCACGACTAGCAATACTAGTCAGAAGAACTCGACAAGCGCAGTCAGCACATCGTTTCGTTGTCAATCTCGAAATATGTCGAACAGCACAATATCAGAACTCGTTTCTCTATAGGATGGAAAAGCTGTGGAATTCATAACCTAAGGAATTTCCGAGAACTTGACATACTACGACTCTTGGTTATATTTTCAATTAAAAATTCAACACAGCCTGAATAAATGATTTTGCTACATCATTTGGGATGTCCTTTCCTCGTTGCTACAAAATAAAAATATAAGTAATATTTTGTAGAAACGAAGATGTAATATCGAAAAATCTAGCAAAATGAGTATATACCATCATATCCTCAATTAACCTACAGACAGTACTGGATAAATGACGTCAATGATTTTTTATCGGCAATTTAACTCATGTATAAAAAATCCCATAAGCCGCTGTGGTTTTGTCATTATGTCAGCGAAAAATCTTTGTACTCAAATGGAACACCCTGTATTTTATTCCATATATACTGGGTTTGATAGGGATATAGGATAAATGTTGAATTTGAATATGAAAATTCTTATACTTGAAAAATAACTGAATGACGCTCTGTATTTGATAAATGCCTCGATGAAACCGCAGCTAAGAGGAGATGAAGTTTCTCGTGTTTTTTGAGCTATCTGGAATCGAAACTCTGAACGTGGAAACTTCAATTATTAACTGCTTGGATAGATTAATTATCGAATGCCAACCTTTTATCACTGAAACAAATAATTTACGTCGATTGACGTAACAGTACATTCCTCTGTAAATACTCTATACCTACTCATACTTTAACATTTTTTCAATCTCTAACACTGTTTTACGTTTTATAAAGAGTGTCTGAGAGCACTAATTTTGCGGAAAATCAATCTCGTTGTAACCTATATGTAAATCATCATATTCTAATGGAAGCACCCCTGTATCTTTCGTAATTGTTGAGTTGGGATTCTGAAATTTGCAAGAGCGGTAGATATACTGAAAATACTCCTCATTCAATACTTGAAGAGACAAATGAATCCTCAAGAAGATAATAAATTGAACAGTATACCTATCTAATATTCCGTGAATTCACGAAATAATCATGAGCAAAAATATTATCATAACTCCCATATAGAATGTTCAATATATGTATTGTTCTAGCAGAACTACAGTAGTATTTTCCATTTTCATAACAATATTTTCAGCTTTTTGCGTCATTTCAATCACAGATTTTGCTTCACCAATCAGAATACGAAAAGTGAAAAGGAATAGTAAAACGTAAAAAGTTTGGTTGTGAGCGGAACGTTGAGAGATGCGTTATGGTATCTATAAATCAAGGGTATAAGCACTGCCGCTTACAGTACCAAGAACCTTTTCGTTTAGGTTCCTGAAGACTATACTTCCGAGTTGCAAGCCCCGATTTCGTCCATGAAGAAGACCAAACGTTTTCCTTCCTCTATTTATCAGAGGTACCTTAGGAATTCACTGAGACATCTGACCTTGCAGAAATAGGTGGCCATAACCATAGACTACAGAAGATTATGCTGCCCCCCAATCACCCTATAAATCTTCTTCTATAGCCCCTAGTATGACAATCTTAGGAAAGAGTTAGTGACCATGTTGTTGTACTTGACGTAGCAGATGGACCTGTACAGTCAATAATAACTCGAGAAAAAGTCTGCTGTTTCACCGAAACAAATGAAAATTGAGAGAATCATTTATTTCTATGTCTATGTACCCCATATGTGGACAACAAATTTAGGACAATCTGTACAGTAAAAACATATTTATTTTACTCTATAGTGGAATCTTCTGATAATCATGCAGGTACTAGCTACATATTTATTTAATCATGCTGATTTCACTATTCATAATAAAACATTTAATATTACGACTATTGTTTGTTTTGTTGTCTACTACAGGTAGAATGAACATTTTCACAATGAATTCATGTCCATAAATCATTTTTAAGTGACATAACTTCAAATAAAAATTCTCATTTCGGGTACACTATAAACATTGTTGTTGTTCTGTTTCAAAGCCAAGTATCAAAATTGAGTGCTCGTGGATTTATTGAAGACACAGCTACTGATGATGATTATGAATCAATGAAACGTGAAATAGAAAAAATGCGACCTTAATTGATTGATCACAAATAATCACACATCAAGAGCATATAATAAAAGCTCGGGGTGTCTTATTCGAAAAGAGGTAATCTGATGAGGGTCAGGAGGAAACGAAACGTCATGTATGAGAGTGAAAACACTGTGAATCTGTGTAACACAAATAGTGTTCATCAATGAAAGCAACAAACATGAGAATTGATTTTTTCAGATGAGATGCTGCTGTCTGGGATAGTCCTTTTCTATTATTTTTCTCAGATTCGAGGAAATGTCTTTTACAGCCATGAATCCAATGGTGAGTACTTATCCATGGTGAAGCTGTATAGTTTAATGAATTAAAAGTAAAAAAAATTCTTCTTGAAAAAAGCTTTCAATTAAGCTCTAAAAAGAAGAAAATGAGATTTTCCTTTTGAATTTTAACTATAAACTTATAACCTCATTATACACAATTCATATGATCATTTCTTTCCACGTCCTGTATGATGATTATCAATGTATAATACATCCAAAAACAAATGCAGTCAGATGACAGGAGTATGTCAAAAAATAATAATTCTCAGATGTCAGTGTGTTATAGTTTTAGTTATATAATAGAGAGATGCAAATTGTGAATATCATGAAGAATGGCTGAAAGAATAACTGGACTTCAGGTTAATGAGGAGGATTAGATATCAGAAATGAGTTATTTCGAATGAAGTCAAGTATAACCTGTTTGTGAGAGATATCATTCCCATATCACTGATACGAATGATTTTTTTGGAAGTTCCAACCTCATCAAAATCAAAGTTTATACAATTATACTTCATTATATTTTTATATCATATTACAAAATATTTTATCCGATTTGAGAGAGAATGTCAAATCTCAATTTCAGAGGATTATCATTCTTCATGCTCTCTTTTTGGATGTTCAACAAATATCATTTAATGTTCGACTTGGCAAATAGCCAGGAAAGTAGTTGTTTTCTGTTGAATATTCAGAATCATGTTATGTGCATTTATACATATTTTTATCTGAATGAGAATGCAAATTCACAACTTTAGAAGATTTTGTTTTCAAATTCTTATCGTGTGTGTTTAATAGATATGATTTAATGTTCGTCGTGGCATATAGCCAGGATAGTAATTGTTTTCTGTTGAATAAACCGAGAAAGAATTGATATTTGCATCACATAGACGATGCGAATTTTCAAATCAATTCTTTATAAATATATATCCATTTTTTATGTTCATTATTTATTCTGAGAATATTCCTTCTCAGAAGTATTCAATGCAATTGAAATTTAAAAAATTTGAACTTTGCAGATTTTTCATGATCTTATCAGTACTAGTTTATTTAGACAAATGAATCGCTATGTGAAGTTGAAATTTGAAAGTAAAATTTTATTTTCGTCCTTCAAGAGCGTTTAAATAAAAGCTGTTTTCAAAGAGTTGTTTTCACTTTTGATGTATTTTTTACTTCTTAGTTATCGCTGGTTTGATTTCTTAGTATGAGGCCCATCTCCCAAATTACAAAAGTCAAAGTTAATCAATCGATGTTACGGGCTTTAAAATCGATTTTTTCAAAACTGAATTTTTATTCTCAATGAACCATTCCATTTCATAGTGAAGAACAAGAAGATTCAATAGTTCACCATATTGCCCATATTGGATTTAGAGTGATGTCACATTATTTCTAATCATTCCCGGCAAGCCTTTTCATTGATACCCATATTGCTCCTACTCCGCCATCTTGGATGGTCGGCCATAATGGATTCAGAATGACGTCACATTATTTTTCGAGTTGCCAAATAATAACAACTATTCTGCAATCTTAAGATGGTCCATCAAAACTGAACGAGTATACAAAATTTCAGCTCATCAATCGGTTGAAGATATCTTCTTCAAAATTGGGATCGAAGATTCCACCCGAACAAAAATACAAACATTGCAAGTTGAATACAAGCTTCTAATTTAATTACAAAAATCTTCAAAGTAATAATTACAATACCTGCACAAGGTAGCTATTGTTATCATCATAATTTGCGTAATTCCTATACATATTATGTAGACAAAAGAACATTTCACATCTCATGGTCTTACACATAGTTAATATAAAGTACTTTGATTGGTTTCAGAAAATTAAGAGATAATTAACATTGACTGATGATTGGAAAATGTCAATGCAAATGTGAAATCACCTGATTTTATATGATTCATACAATACATATACAGCTTGTCCACTATAGTTGAGTTATTCTTTCATTCACAAACAAATATTAGTATAAGGCATACATTTTATTTGATGTGTAGATATTATAATATACGCAGTAAATTGTTTATTTTACACAGGGTGTCCTTAATTCGAGAATGAGCATAAAGATTTCAGTTAACCATAGAAATACGATAATGCAAATATCAGGACAAAGTTGCGCATTGTGATGCTGATCAGTTATCTGAAAAAAAATCCCATCTTTCTTTCTCAGTTTTCAGGATATCGTTTAATAACTTTTCTATAGGAAAACCGATCGAGTTATAAATTTTAACTTGAACATAATCGAAGCAGTTTTTTGCAAGGAATCCGAAAATGATAATAATTTTTGTTTTCAGCACACGGAGAAATAATGACAGTCACCGTTTTTCCTCACGGGCGCCATATTGAATTTTTAAATATCTATATAGTTTATTATTCCAGATTTTTTGTGATTCTCTCTCCTCGTTCCTAGAAAATAAAATTATGAATATTATTTAAATATACGCGTAGTAGGGACAAATCAGATGATTTGCCCCAAAATGTCTCTGTGTTCAAAGAATTTTCCTATCAGAGAGCCTAAAAGAAAAATTCACTAGCTTGTCAGTGACAATTTGTATTGAAAAAGGTTTGGAGAAGAGAAAAAAAGGTACCTATATAGAGAAAATATCGACTTTTTACTTATCTTTGGACGTTTCGGGAACGAATTTGCTCCCGTTTACGACATATAAATGGATATTTGAATAGCAAATTCGTATTTGTCTTGGCACTTTCTCAGTGAGAATTGGTGACGTTGGCATTCATTAATTGATCTTGAATTTACCATTTCCATTTTCAGATTTCAGTAGTGAATACCATGTTCTATCTATATCAACTGAACAGGGAGCAATGCTATTGTCTCCGTTCAGAAGAATGCAAGCAGATTCCTTGATTTTTATCTTCTGGTTGTCATCTTCTTTTCCAATGATTTTAATATTATTCCACTCTGCCATATGTTCTCCATCTTCATTAAGGACATGTTCAGCTAGTTTCGATTTGTCGATGTGTCTTTTCCTTATATTGTTCTGTTCCTTCGTCCTTACTGAAAGTGTCTCTTGGTTTCATCTGTCTAAAACTTTCCACAAACACAAGGTATACTTTAAATACAATTTTTTGACGATTGTTCTTCATTTTTCTGAATAGTTTATTTTTGATTCCAACAATGTAATACACAACATGTTTATATCTTAGTCGAATTTTCCTAAGAAACATTTTTAAAGATTTAAAATACAATATGGCGTCCATAGGAAGAAATAAGCTGACTATCGTTTGTTTCCTTTTACGTGTGTTAAGAAAAAACTAATATCATTTCCGGATTCCTCGCAGAGATCTACTTTGAGAAAGTATACGGTGAGGACGTAAAAAGTCCTCCCCCCTTTTAATCTTTCTTTGTACTGAACAAGCTAGCGAGGTCAGGTAAAATTCAGGCGAAAAGGTATCTTCATTGGCATGAAAACGATTGTGGTCATTTTGAAACAGCTTGACCGATTTGCACAAACAAAGCGAAGTTGGATAGATAATCGAAAGGCCTTCAAAACAAGGTACCACGTGACCCATCTTCATATTTGAAAAAAAAAGTTGATGGTGCCCATCTGACACTAGGTCACGTGACTAAAACCATTTTCATGCCAAATAGTAGTGAATGAGGTACATTTTGCCTGAATTTTACCCGACTCCGCTAGCTTGTTCCGTTCAAAGGATAAAGGAGGGGAAGAACTTTTTACGTCCTCACTGTATATTAGTTAAGAATCGATAATTCGATCGGTTTTCCTATGAAAAAACGAGAAATACAAAATTCGGTTTTCAGACGATTTCTAGAAAACTAAGAAAGAAAATCAATGTTTTTTCCAGCTTATTGATCAGCATCAGAATACCCACCTTTATCCTAATTTGAGCTACCCCGCATCTCTCTAGAGATAACCAAGATCATCATGTGAAATATCTCACAATCAAATATGATCACAATGATTTTAATATACCGGGTGTCCCAGATCTTTCCGTACAGGCAATATCTCTGTTGTGCTTCTTGGGAAACAAATTACACTTCTGTCAAACCCAAATGACTTTGAAGCCATTGTGTCAAACCCGAATGACTTCAAAGCCATTGTGTCAAAGTCAACTTTTGTCGAACTACGCATGAAAAAGCCATATACGTATTAATAATCAATACGGATAATCTCTATCTGTTTCCATAGCGAAATATGAAGCCGATTTTTGAAGACAAATGACTATCCATAAGGAAAAGTTTTGAAACGATCAGACACATACTGCTTTGATTGAAAGGCTAGTAAACGTCATTGTCCACCGAAACGCATGTCTTTGATGACTACTATAATAGCGCATGGCGCATGCGTATCATGCCACCAAATCCTTATGGATAATCATTTGTTTCATATTTTTGGCTTCATCCTGGCACCCGTTATGATCCGTATTGTTTATTAATACGTATATGGAAAAATCACCCAAACTTCATTTCCTCAAGTTACATATAATATAACCTAACTTTTTTGTGGATTAGTGAAGTGCATCAATCAATTATTATTCCAAAGATGTGCGTATCACACTTGATACAAAACTACAAAATCCCAAGGGAACAGTATCAGGTGTAGATTATTTATTTTATTATGTAATATACTATTACGCTTACCCCGAATGAGCATTCTGTCAATTGGACGTCAGTCAAATTATCAAGTGTAATACATCGTTTGAAGGTGCTTCACATGTCAACAAAAAATGTATAGGGTGTAACTTGAAATATTGAAGTTGAGGGTGGTTTTTCAGGGGTAGTTTGACAGAAGTTGACTTTGATACAATGGCTTCAGAATCATTTTGGTTCAACAACAGTGTAATTTTGTGTAACGTAATTTTTTCGAAACAATTCCCAAGCAGCATAACTGATATATTGACTGTATGGAAAGATCTGGGACACCCGGTATACATCAAAAATATTCCTAATTTCTTCCAAGGAGTCGCTGACAAAAATAACACCGACATTCAGATAAATTACGTCCTATTGGACGGTACCAACACCTGCAACAGAACCTGCATCAAAGGAGAACCACCGGTGCTTTGCAAGTACCATTTCGATGTAGAGCAGTACCACAGCTTGAGCAAGGCCTGCTACGACTGCCCCTACAATCTGAATGACTGTTTCAGGAAAGATTGCATTCCTGGGGACGGCAGCAAAAGAGGGATCGTCACTATCAACAGACAGTTGCCGGGGCCCACTATACAAGTAATCATTATGATTATTTCCTTCCGATGATTTAAAACCAATCAGAAAAAATCGCATTGAATACAATTCTAACTTCAGAATCTTCAAGCCTATAAATCTCAAACTTTCTGCACAATTACAAATCGTGTCAGTTCAACAGAATAATTCTCCTGCTTCATTACCTTTCGATGTATAAACCGAATATTTTGAAGTACTTATAGTATTACTACTGATTATTTTCCCAATATGATTTTAAACCAATCAGCATCACTCTAATATCTCGTCTGGAAACACTGTTATACTGATGGGCTTTGTAATTGATGACATTCTCAATTGCGCAGCTCATGTGGAGCAGTTGAGCCAAAAATTGTCTTCGATTACATTTTTGATCCGTCGAATGAAGAAAATAGTCAGTTCAGATGTTCTCAGATCCTCCTATCATAGTTTATTTCACAGCAATATCATTAGGTACTGTGGAGCAGATCATGCATGGTAACCTCACAAAATATTCGTTCAACAAAAAAAGTAGTCAGAATCATGAGCGGTGCAAATTACAAAGACCAATGCCGTCCACTTTTTCGTAAACTTTATGCCAGTTTTTTTTTATTTATCTCACACTAACATGAAGGATTATCAATTAAGGACAGTGAAACATCTGTAGATCAGGTAATTTGCTGAAAAGCCCCGGCAAAGACTTCGTACATTGATGTATACAACAACCTTCCAAATGAAATAAAACCTTTGAATGCTCGCGATTTCAAAATTAAAATGAAGCGATTCCTTTGGAATTTCTGTTTCTATTCGATGGATGAATTTCGGAGGCTAATTTTGTAGGTCAAAATAAGACTTTTTTCTATCAACATGTGTCCGCAAAAGTTTCATTACCGATTCACAGAGCGTTGAAGTTTCAAGATTTTATTTCAGTTTTCGAGATATTCAGATCTCTGAATTACAACTGCCAGTTCAAAGTGGCAAATGCCAGTTCAAAGTGACAATTGTCAGTTCAAAGTGACAATTGTCAGTTCAAAGTGACAATTGTCAGTTCAAAGTGACAATTGCCACTTCGAAGTGGCAATTCCATGAAAATAAAGTTGTTGGCCCTTCTACGCCTTCGTAGATGGTAAAGACGCTATTCCAACAAAGATTTAATTTGTCAGTATTGTATAATGTATTTTTATAACCTACTTCAACATGTGATTACTATTTTTCACTTGAATGTTTATGACATGCTACAAATGTACATCAGTACTTAAAGTGGTGAATAAACTATCTATATCTATCAATAATTTTGAATATACGTGAATATACACAATCAGCAATTTAGAATTATTTCCATTTCCACAGTAACCAATCCATATTGTTACATACAAACAAAGCGCGTCGACAAATTTTGATGTTCGTGCAGAAACCCTCGAAAAATAATCGGATCGAATACAATTTCAGCACCAAAATCTTCAAAGTTATACATCTCAAACTTCAACTTAACACAATAATCCTCACGCCTCGCGGTCGGATTATTTCAACTGTTAAACTGACAAGCTTTGTAATTATATAACAAGTTATCGATGTACATACCGAACATTTTGAAGTACTTATAGTATTACTACCAATAATTATAATACCAGTAACAATATTATTATCATTGGTAATAGTCGGAGTCGCATCCACAAGTTCAATTTCACCAAACCAGCAGTTAACTCTTGTTCATAATATTTGAACAACCGTCTATTAGTACGTCTGCCTCTGGATAACTCTCCTCTGAGTCACTAGTATCGAATACAAAAGTTTTCTCACCACTAGCTATAAAACCAACCAATATTTACTCCTTTTCGAGACCTAAAGTGTGTTTTTACTACCAAGGTAGTTTTCGACTTAATATTATAAACCACTAGTCGATTAGGACTTAGCCATCTCTGATCAGGGATGCGCAGGATTGGCACTCGAATGCTGTCATGGTCATGGCTAAGAATTGAAAATAACTGTTTTCATAGTGACTTCCATAATGACAACTAAAATGATCGAAATATATTGCTAGTATATATTCCTTGGTGTATAATATATAACTATTATCACTTAAGAATCCGTACGAAATTCCACTTCATCCACTAGTGGAATAATGAAAAATACAATCTTGAATCGATCACATTCCAAATATTGATTAACATTCTTATATTAGGTTTGTATGTTTGTATGTAACGCGCAATCTACGATTGTGATTTTGACCCACTTCAAAACGTCGAATTGTATTTCAACTTCGCATACTTATCTAGGACCGATAACAAAAGCATAATTTGATAGTTTCGTTTCATTATCCTGATCAGGAAGAGCGATTGTTTTCTCGAATAAAATGGTGAATGATGTTCCGCCACCAAAATTTGAAAATGTTCCTTCACCAAATGTTCAAATGTTTTTCGTTCGAATAACTTTTCAATGCACTTTTTTATATCCAGAGACACGGTAGTGTCTTATGCTTATATCAAGTACTCGTATGAATAGTTAGGTCCAGAGAGATCAGTCATGTTGAGACCTCCCGATATTTTTTAACGTAATTTCAATTAATCAGACTTCAACGTCAGGATTCTTTCTCAGGTTTGTCAAAACGACATGGTCGTAGTGGACGTTAGAAACAAAATGGGCAGCGAATCCACGACCATGCACTGGCACGGTCAGCACCAGAAGGACACCCCGTATATGGACGGAGTCCCCTTCGTGACTCAGTGCCCCATTCTCCCCCACGACACATTCCGATACACCTTCAGAGCCACGCAAGCCGGCACACACTTTTGGCACTCGCACATAGGTAAGTTTCTCACTCTAGTGCGAAAATTGTCATTTATCGCACTAGTGTAGAAAAATATCATTTATCGCACTAGTGTCGAAAAGTACCATTTATCGCACTAAGACGATAATGATCGTTTTTACTCGCACTAGATGTATCCCGACACCATTGATGTACGAGCTTCACTAAGCAATTCTGATCACTCACTCATCTCCACAACCTGCCCATTCATCATTCCATCTAGTTCAGCACCCCTACGTCTTGTATGGCATTATATTTTCCTTGGCACATATTATGCTTTGATCTGGAGGATCCTCCACAGTGTGCCGCGGATATATCCGAGATCATCTCGCTTGGAATGGACACATACTTACCTCATTCTTCGAAAAGACCATCAGCTTCGAAATCCTAGTTCAGCAAGAACTGTTCTAGAGATATTGCTCTGAAACAAACAGCCTACCTTGTGACTAGAGCAGAAAATGTTGAAGCAAGGAAGAACTGCAGCCAAAGAATAGATGCATAAAAAGGATCATACCATTTTTTTTATGTTCTGGTTCCCACGAAAAGGGATATCCTGTAATGTTCAGAGAACATCGTGAGAACCAACGGAAGTAAGGTAAGAATTGGTGTTCTTCTTAAATTTCTGGAGGTTGTATGCCTCGGGGAACACCTTCCTTGGCAATGTGTTCCAGAGCCTCGCTGTTCCAGAGAAGTGAGAGAGTTTGTAAGCGAGGCATCACCCACGAGACGAATTGCCCTTTTTTGGACAGAATCCAACAGTTTCAGGGTATGTTTGGGTGCTGCACTCCAAGTATGGGAACAGTATTCCAGGACAGGTCGGATCTGTGCCTTATAGATCATGAGCAGCTGACTAGAAGTGGAATAGCTCCTGGCCTGAAACAGAAAACCAAGTTTTTGAGATGCACTTTAAGCAATTGCTCTCACGTGATTTTCCCAAACAAGGTTATTGCTGATAGTAATACCAAGCATCGAAATGGATGTCGTCAAAGGTATGGTTACTCCTGACAAGTTTATGTTGGGCACAGTGAGATCGGCTTTTCTAGAGAAAAGGTATGCTTGTGATTTGTTTGCATTGAAATCTACCAAGTTATTGGAGCCCCATTCGAGAATTGTTGCCAAGTCCATGTTATGTGTTCTTCCTCGTTCGTTTCTGATTCCCCTGGCTGGTATTGGAGCTCTGGAAGACAAGCCGATATGGAGGGTACTATCATCCGCGAAGCTGTGTACTGGACATGAAGTTGCTTCCAACAAATCGTTGGTATGGAGTAGAAATAGTGTTGGTGCTAGAATTGATCCTTGCGGAACACCAGCATTTATGATAACAGTGTCAGATGAAACTCCGTCGACCACTACATGGAGAGACCTGTTTGAGAGAAAACTAGCTAGCAGAGAACATAGCTGGGGAGGCAATTCATGAGATGGAAGCTTAGCGAGGAGTCCGTGGTGCCAGACTCGATCGAATGCCTTGGAGATATCAAGTGCCACGGCTGAGGTTTCACCATATTTTTCAATAGATTGCTGCCATATATGTGAGACGTAAGCGAGCAGGTCACCAGTTGATCTCTGATGACGGAAGCCATATTGCCTATAATAGTTGAAAATACCTGAATGTTCCAGGTATTTCATGAGCTTGATACTTTCGCCATGATATTTGAAATACTAGATAGCAGTGCGATCGGTCTGTAGTTGCTAGGTAGGGCCTCCCTGGGTACTCACGATGTTCCACGAACATTATAGAAATTTCTTTTCGTGCGCTTCAAGAGATGGAAAAAACTAAAAGCTAGTGCGATAATGAAAACTTTTTATTTCAGGAATGCAACGGGCTGACGGCGCTTACGGTCCTTTGATAGTGAAAGTTCCAGAAGAAGAAGACCCTCATTCGCCGATTTACGACTACGACTTAGCCGATCACGTGATGGTGATCATAGACTGGGACACGAAAATGAGCATGGAGACGTTTTTGTCCCACCACCATAACGATGCTGACAATAAACCACCTACTTTACTGATAAACGGTTTCGGAAGGTTCAGAGACTTTCAAGCGGAGGAAAATCGTACTGTTTATATGCCCACTGCCAGATTCAGGGTGGAGAAAGGATATAGATATCGGTTTAGGGTGATCAATGCGGGATTCTTGAATTGCCCTATCGAGATGTCTATAGATAATCATACGATTACCGTTATAAGTACAGATGGAGCCAACATCAAACCGATAGAAGGTAAGCCATTTTCATGACTTTAATTTCTTTGTATTTTCTCTCATCGTTGATTTTCAATACTGAAACTCGACTCCTATCTGAAACACTTCATTGGGAGAATGATCCACCAAATTGAAAACAAGCAAAATGGAACAATAAAACCTGTTGGTGATGAGTTCTGAGTAAACATTGCTTCTATGCACTGCAGGGATTGAAGGGTTACTTTAAATCCCTATTTTTGGGGAGAAACGTGGTACTTCAAATCCCTAGGTATTTGAAGTACCTACATTTTAAATCCCTAGAGATTTGAAGTACCACTTTTTCTTCCGAGATCTAGATCACCATAGTTACTGAGATCGTTGATATGGTAACAATCACCCCTTCGATGACGTTTTAGAAATGAGTCCTTTCCGTGTATAGTGGCATTCATTCATGGTACACCGCCTTTTTCTCCTTTAGGTTCCAGAGATAACTAATTGAAATTTGGAAGGATACATCAACTTGATAAACGTCACTTTTTGACATGAATAGGTTTAATATGCCACTTCCGGTTTCACCGAAAGTAGTAGTAACTTTTGATTCTCAAATGGATCACCGTGTATATCATTGCATTTTCGAATTCTGCATTATTTTCTGAATCCCATGATACCATATAAGTGGCATTTCAAACTTTTTGATTTTCCATCTGAGTGTGCCATGACTATTCTGATGTACTCATATTGTCTGGTGTGATGCTAAAAAATTTTGAATCCTGTCAAAAATGAGAAATTTCTTGATTGATCACCAATTAAAGTGCATCAAAATTGTTTGGTGTACCATGTTTATGATGTTACACCCGGTATACACCTCAGGACTAGAGTGTTTTTGAATCCCTCGACAAATTGTATAACCTTTTTGTCCCGGGATTAAAAATATGTACCGCTTCAGTCCCTAGGTGTATAATGTACTATTATGACTGAAAATGCAATGATATCAATTCGTACTCAAACTGAACAACAAAAGGTGAACAATAATTATCGAAAAATTGTATATTGATGGCTTAGTATCAACATTTCTTCAAATTTTCAGGAGACAACATAGACGCCGGGTTTTAGATATTAAAATGTATCATATTCTGCAAGAATGTCGGAGTTATTTCATCAAAATCATAGATCTAAATACGACACACTTTAGATCTATGTCAGAATGAAACTATGATTGATGTGATGAGTTCATTTGAAATATTCTATTTCAAGCAATGAACAATCTCTTATATAATTCCCCTACCTAGCTGGTTCAAAAACTAACCATATGATATATTGATTACACAAGACTATTTTTTTGATTGATACGTGGTATTACTTCTTTGGTTGGATATGTGGTACCTATTACTATGATACTTATGACATGACATAGAAATTAATTGGGGAGAAACGTGGTACTTCAAATCCCTAGGTATTTGAAGTACCTACATTTTAAATCCCTAGAGATTTGAAGTACCACTTTTTCTTCCGCTCTGCTCCGCTCGTGCTTGAAAAACTCGTTACTAAAATGACGTTTATAACACTTGTTACATAATATACTATTATTGGTCCAAGCACCACGTGCTTTCGCAAAAATGTTGTCAAGCATATTAACGAAAAAAAATCCGTAAAAATCACGATTCTGACAAATTTTATGATACGTAGTATTGCCACTAAGCCATGAATATACAGTGTGTGAAATAATAAAACTCTCTCAGTGAAGATGAAGGAACATATAAGTATAGGTACAATTCAAAGAAAAGACATTTCAACAAATGGAAATTTGCTGAACATTTCCTTACTGAAAATGGGCAACAAAATATCGCGGAGTGGAATGATATTAAAATCATAGGAAAATATTAGCAAAAAAAGAAAAATCAAAGAACCCGTTTGCATCTTCTGCTCATAGTCATGAGTTTTTCACTCATTGTTATCTAATAGGTATATAATCATCATGCCCTGGAATATCATTTATTTTACTGTTTCAAGATGATAGCAAGTCATGCTTGATGAGTGAGATATTAAGACCAGATTTAATGTTATCCAATTCATTGTGATAATATATTTTTTACTTACGCAGGGTGTCATAAAAATAATTACATATAATTTGAAACCTATAGAGGCGTAGACATAATTAAAAAAATATAAGGTTCCAAATAAAATATGAGTCAAGACCCCTCTGTATAATCTTTTCGCGAAAGGCACAATCATGTTGATTACAACAATTCTAATTGTTTTGAAATGACATATGTACTCGATTGTTTTGAAATTTCGGTAGAATTTTCAAGGGGAAATTCCTTGTTAATTAGAAGACTAATTAATATTTTAGCCATACTTTTCAGACTGTATTATGATGATATGTTCAATATACAGGGTGTTATTGGGGATGGTAGTCTCATATATACAGGGAGTGCCATAAATCATGGATCAAAAGAAATAGGGTGGTAGGAGTAATTTTTTTTAGATAGCTTTCATTCAAGTAATATTGTTAACATAATATTTTTTGTTATTATCATCTCATAGACAGTCACCTAAGCCTAGCTTGTATTGTGCATAGTCTATGAATTGATTATTATTTCAATTTACATTTAATAAACATTTTTAGAATAGGTAGGTAATTGAAATCTGACAATATGTTTACAATAAACAGACAATGTTCAAATTGCAATCAAACTTACGGTAAATGTTATCAAATTGCTGATGATTCAAACGTTATTCAATTTTTCTGAGGAACGCGACCCATTTGAAAATGAATGTTAATAAAAAGGCTGTTTTGAATAACCCCCTATGTTATTCCATTTCGTAATCTGTATTGAATGGGAAACTTTTTCTTATGATTGGTTATCATTGTGGGTAGTTTTTGAATCTGCCAGCGGCATTTGAAAATCAACTTGAACATTTCATTCGATGACAAAACTTCAGGAAAAAAACATTTTCCTCAGGATGATTGATAAGTAAAAACACATATCATGAAGTTATTTCTGGGGAAATGTCCACCCAACAATATATATATACCTGCTGTAAGAAATAAATTTACGAATAAAATAAAATGATAATATAAAAGACAGACACATTTACGTATTGACGTGGCTGACCAACAATATATAGGGTTTACATTTATAAAAAACAAGAACAATACCACAGTTCACTTCACATGGAAAGACTAGAACCTATAAGCTAAGTATTCCTCTAAGGTAAAAAACCATTTCCCTTTGACTCCTTTGAGAAGTATTTTAACTTTGAACTCAGAACAAGAAAATTGAATCGAATGAAAAAATTGAACATATGAAAAAAATAATGAAGCACAAAGATTTTCATCATGAATTACAATTAGGTATAATCCTCTGGGATGCCAATGGAATGATTACGGTGAATACCAAAAGCCACAAGATACATTTCTTCATGACAAACAAATCTGCTCAGTTAAAATCAGGTACCCATCAGTATACAGGGTGAATCACGGTGGATGGCACGTTTCTGGAGAACGCAACTCAGGATTATTCTGAAAAGTTGGTGCCTTGGATCTTTAGTTGTGTACTATCGACCAGAAATATTCTCAGCGTTGCGACGTTGCCGCTTATATAGAAAAGTAGCAACAACTTTGATTTTTTCAATAGTACACCCTATATATCATTCCATTTTCAGTTTTTCCCTGAAGAGCTGATTCCATCGATCTATCACGCTTGGGGTCCAGCGGAAATGATAACAAAGATATATGGTGTGAAAAATCGAAATTTTTCACACCTTATTGTAGAAAGTATAGAAGTTTTTGAGCTACGAATGAAGAATATATTTTTCAACGTCAATACCTTGTATCTCTGAATCACCCTGTATATGAGTATTTCAAAATCAATTTTTATGTGTGTAGCAAAGTTCCTCAGGTACTACTTTCATAAGTACCACTTTTTTCTATTCGATTGCTGTAATTGTGCACTTAGAAACAACGACAGAGTAAAGATCGAAATTTTCCAAACATAATTACCGCAATTCTCTGCTAAATCTGTGAATATCCATGATTTCCATGAACCAATAAAGATATAATACCATTTTATGGTCTCTGTAAAGATTTAATGACACCATATCCATCGGATTGGCCCAACAAGGCAATATATTTTTGTTGAAATACCTTGATGAAATGAAATAGCCATATTATTTTTATTACATTGTTGATTACAATATCAATGACTGAAAAGTCAAACCAAAAGTAATGAAAATAGAGATGAACCCGATCATAAAAAGCATAGTTTCGGCACGTTTTCATGCAATAAAGGGATATTTCTCTATAGCAGACATAATGGGCTTATATCACAAACAATTTTTATTTCATAATTCGATAGACCTCACTCAAACTAGCTCACCACCGCAAACCGTTTCTTGCTGTGAGCTCCCTACGTTTTATTAAAAATTATTGAAATTCACGATTTTTCGGACCTCTGAAAACGGGGCGATGATGTGACGTCAAAACCCTAATACTGAAACAAGACTATTCCATACAGAGATGAATGATACATGATTTCTGACAGAGTGAATTAGCGCGAGATCACAGTTATATCAGTTGCCTCAGTCTCGATGAGGTTTCTACGTCATAAGAGGGTCCGTTTTCAGAAGGTACTTTTATTTATGTCCAAAAATAAAACATTCCAGTTAATTTTTCGATCGAATTAGGTCGTCAATCATTATTTATGTATAAAAGGATCTTTATAAACATGGTTTGAGTTAAAAGTTCTACTAAGGTGTACACGCCCATTGATGGATCCAAGGTATCTGGGCACTACAAACTGTTCTACCACTAACCAAACCGATGATCATCAATCTATTACTATTCTTAAATATCTCTAAGCTTCCATATGCATCTAATTTTCTAACATTATTAACTGGCTTAACTAATTTGAGGATATCAATATGTGTGTTATGATTGTGATTGATTATGTGTTCAGCTACACGACACGATTTATCTAACCTTCTATATTTCCTATGTGCTGAATGTTCTTTGAACTTTGTTTTTATGGGACGCCTGGTTTGGCCTATATATGTTTCATCACAATCATTACAACTAATTTCATATATTCCTGACTTTTCTAGTGTGTCCACCTTATCCTTTGAATTACTACAGACTGATAAACGCTTTCAAAACCTAAGTCTTTGGAAAGCTTATCAAGTTCTCATGAGTACTTGATGGGATTGAAAGGGATTGGGATTTTTTTCGGATTGATTTTATCCGCTTGAGAAGTCGTAGATTTCCTGAGTGATAACTAGAATTATTTATGTCTACGTATTAATTCATCTTCCATTTTGATATTATAACCATTGACGCCAGCCACTTCTATAACAACACTCTTTTCAACATCGAATCTCTGTTTGCTCAGAGTGTTGAAAACAGTGATTGGAGCTCGGATTGGAGTCATTATTTAGGTATCTAAGTTTTCTAGTTTCTTTTCTGAAAACATCAAATTCTGAATTGTTTTCGCCATTCTTGATCACAAGAACATCTAAGAATGGTAATTGACCGTTGTTTTCGCATTCAAAAGTGGATTTGATAGAGGAGAAGCAATTGAAGAGTGGAAGCACCAAAGGCACTAAGTGCCAAAATCTAAGTTTTGTAGATATTTGCTTAAAATGGTTTCAAGTACCATCGCTAATGTACCCACAAAGATTATGAGTGTAATTCTATTTCCTGAGCTTCATGGGAATAGTAAGACTAGATGGATCTAGGCACTATATCCAGAAAGTTTTTAGTTCGAAAGGGTCTACGTGCCAGTCAGGTTGATAGTGTAAGTGTGCTTTGCGTTCAAACGTTTATAGTGTATTGGACAATAAATTGACGTGTAAACATTGAAGTTTTGCAAGAAAAGACTAAAGGGAGGTTTATAGAACAGCAGAGAGTGAACTGAAAAACAATGCTGGAAAGGCATGCATACGTTAACAGGAAAATAAGAGAAATTTGCTTGTTTTAGTGTTCCTTGCTCTGCATGAAGTTTTTGACACAATAGAGTATAACTTTCGAATAAGTGGTCACAGTTTCATGGCTTGTGACCGAGACTTCGCTCTCATTGAAAAAAAAGGAAGCGGGTCATGAAGGCAATGGTGCCAAATGATCATGAATGATCATGTAATAACTTCCGCAAAATATGATCCGCCATTCGAAGTTATTGATATGTCTGTAAACGGATTCTGGGATATAAAGGAAGCTGCAGATACGTTTCTTAACACTAAAGCCTCAAATATCAGTAAGGCAGTTACAATAAAGATCGATCATAAAGATCCAAAACAGAACTTCATATAAAAGAAACTTGGGAAGGAATTAACATTTGTTTTCATTTATTACCTTTGTAGGAATCATAATTTGGCACTTATGCCCTTTCAGTTTTGGTTCCAAACAAACCTTGAAATTTCATGTTATTGATAGGAATATTAGATTTGTTTTCTACCAGTACCTATTTCTGGATGTTAAGAATCGGTTTAACATGTTCATGATGAAAAACAATAAAAACATTTGCTTCCTAAGTTGTTTTCTTAATTACCTCGGAATTATAAAAATGGCACTCAGTGCCTTATATGTACTTCCACTCTTCAATTGTTCAATAATAATGTTAAAAAATTAGATCTTATATCTAGGGATAATTGGATAGTTTGAATCTATATTAAGGAAAATCTGTCACTATTTTGTCGACATATTTGTTCATATACAGGGTGGCATTGAAATAAATGACTATTTCTGAAATTGAATTGAAATTTTCTGAAATACAACTGGAAAAGGGGTAGTTTTAAGTATTGTGGTATGACTTTTAATCTCTTCGGCTGATGATGGGCTTATGATAAGCCCGAAACATGTCCCTCCTTCCATTATAACACCTTATCATTGAAAATCATGAAGATGACTTGAAGATTTTTTTCTTCCTTCGATCTCATAGTTATTCATGACTTTTCCAGCTACGTCCCTTGTGACCTACGCAGGAGAACGATTTGATTTCGTGATGAATGCGGATCAGGACAGGGCTCTTTACTGGATCCGATTCAAGGGCTTGATGGACTGCGACGAAAGATTCACCAAGGCCTTCCAGACCGCTGTCCTAGAGTACGATGGCTTGAATACGACAGAAGAAGATTATCCCGAAGGGAATGTCGACTATGACAACGCGCATAATGATGGACTTGTAAGTACAGTACCTGGTCTTTAACATGTTTATATTGAGCCCATTGCTTCAACAATGATTGAACACCACGTGACCAGAATGTGTTAGCAACCAACACTGCACAGTTGGTGAATGAATAACTGGAACTGTTTGCTGGCAATACGTGAAATGACTAGGTATTTCAAAAAATCAAATTTGAATTAATACTGTCTGTAGGTTAATCGAGGAGGTGATACATTCGTTATTCCAGATTTCTTTGATATTTTCTCTCCTCGTCTCTTTATAATAAATTCATGAATACTAGTTCAATATACGTGAAGTTAGGACAAATCAGATGATTTGCTCCAAAATGTCAGTGCATTTGAAGAATTTTCCTATCAGAGAGCCTGAAAAGAAATTCACTAGCTTGTCAGGAATAATTTGTATTGAAGAAGAGAAATAAAGGTAAATAGAAAAAATATCAAATTTTTTACTTATCTTTGGACGTTTCGGAAACGAATCTGCTCCCGTTTTCAACATAAAAAATGGATTTTTTGTATTGCAAATTCGTATTTGTCCTGATACTTTTCAGGTCTCTGTGACTATTGGTGACGTTGGCAATCAAAGGAGTTACATGATGTTTCAATTGATTAATCTTGAATTTACCATTTTCATTCTCAGATTCCAGTAGTGAATACCAGGTTCAATCTATATCAACTAAACAGGAAGCAATGCTATTGTCTCCGTTCAGAAGAATGCAAGCAGATTTCTTGATTTTTCTCTTCTGGTTGTTATCTTCTTTTCCAATGATTTCAATATCATTCCACTCTGCCATACATTCCCGGCATACCTGAAAAAATAAAACGTGTTGGTGATAAATTTCGAGTGAAAACTGTGTTCAAAACTGGAAACACAATGAGATCAATTCTAACTCAAACAAAACCAAAAAAATGTCAAAAAATTTAATTTTCAATATACCTTGTGTTTGTGGAAAGTTTTAAAAAGAGACCTCTTTCAGTAAGGACGAATAAGGAACATAAATACAAAATGAAGGAAAGACACATCGACAAATCGAAACTAGCTGAACATATTCTTACTGATGAAGGAGGACAACATATGGTAAAGTGGAATGATATTAAAATCATTGGATAAGAAGATAACAACCAGAAGATAAATCAAGGAATCTGCTTGCATTCTTCTGAACGGAGACAATAGCATTGCCTTCTTTTCAGTTGATATAGATAGAGCATGGAATTCACTATAAAAATAAATCTGAAAATGAGAATGGTAAATTCAAGATTGATTAATGAAAACATATCATGTAATTAATTTGATTGCCAACGTTACCAATTGTCACTGAGAACTGGAAAGTATCAGGACAAATACGAATTTGCATTTAAAAAAAATCCATTTTTTATGTTGAAAACGGGAGCAGATTCGTTCCTGAAACGTCCAAAGATAAGTAAACATATGATATTTTCTCTATATTCCTCTTCTCCAAACCTTATTCAATACAAATTGTCACTGACAAGCTAGTGAATTTTTCTTATATACACTCTCTGATATAGAAAAATTCTTTAAACGCAGTGACATTTTGGGGCAAATCATTTGATTTGTCCTAACTACACGTAAATTGAAAAAGTATTTATGAATAATTGAGTTATTGCTTCGGAGAAAAAGTTTTTGATATTTCAAGTATTTTGATTATCAAATAAATCACCGTTAAATTGAGATGAAATTTCTTTCAGCAAGTCAATAGCTTGAATAGAGGAATGGAAAGCAACAAGTCCTTCATTAGCATGCCTCATCTGGAGTCGCTGCAAGGTTGGGATGACAGTTTAGCTGAGAAACCCGATTTCCAGTATTACATAGCGTACGATTTCTATAAACTGGATAACGACGAGTTCCACAGGAGACCCCTATACGGATTTTTCAACTGTAAGATATTTTTCTCTCCTAGTCACTGGATGGTGTTAGTTAGAGGTCCTAAATGTACAGGGTGATTGACTATGGATTTCTCGACTTCAACAGCTGATATCTCGAAAACGAAAAAAGATATTTGAAATTTGGAAAAAGTTACTTGAATGAGATGTCATTTCCTTCTGGAAAATGTGTTCTCTGCTTGATTTTATCATTTCATATACAGGGTATGTGAACAAATTTTTTTTTTCAAATGGAACCCCCTGTATATTATCGCATATTTCGAAAGAGCTATCTTTCCTGATTTTGAAAATATGTACTTTTCATATATTCTATCGAGTGCTTGACGAAATATCAGCAAAATTAAATATTAAGATTTGGTCCAAGTTATGGTTGAAATAGAATGAGATGATGAATGAGTGAATTGACATTTGGTCTACATTTCAGTGACATAAGTGCGCAAAATTTCGACAATTTTTTCACGATGCCATATCCACTGGAACAAAGAAGAGATATTTTGGAGTGCTATTTTTCAGTTAATAAAAATCTTACTGAAACACTTCATAAGTTTATGAGGAGTTATCCAGGCAGGAGATTACCAAGTAAGAATTATGTAAAGTATTTGGCTGCTAAATTTGACAGAACTTCCAGTTTATCGAATATCAAGAGAATAGTGAGAAGGCAAGACAACGAAGACGAGGAACTTCTTGTAATCCAGTATTTTGTTGAGGATCCTTCACGGTCAATAAGAAATGCAGTGAGAGTGTTTGTTTCAGCTATTATTTTGTTCAACATACCTTAAGGAAATATTAATATAGGGATTTCAGAATTAGCCCATGCCACAAACTCAATTATGATGATAATGAGAAGCGGATTGAATTTTGTCTTGTCATATCTGAAAGATTAAATTTAAGTAAGTATAAGTGTAATAAGTGTTTCAGCAAGATTTTTATTAACTGAAAAATAGCACTCCAAAATATCTCTTCTTTGTTCCAGTGGATATGGCATCGTAAGAAAATTGTCTGAATTTTGCGCACTTATGTCACTGGAATGTTGGCCAAATGTCAATTCACTTATTCATCATCTCATTCTATTTCAACCATAGCTAACTTGGACCAAATATTAATATTTAATTTTGCTGATATTTCGTCAAGCCCTCGATAGAATAATATATATGGAAAGTATATATCTCCGAAATCAGGAAAGATAGCTCTTCCGAAATATGCAATAATATACAGGGGGTTCCATATGAAAAAAAAAATTTTTCACGAACCCTCTGTATATGAAATGATAAAATCAAGCAGAGAACACATTTTCTAGAAGGAAATGACATCTCATTCAAATAACTTTTTCCAAATTTCAAATATAGTTTTTCGTTTTCGAGATATTAGCTGTTGAAGTCGAGAAATCCATAGTCAATCACCCTACTTGACATTGCTGTTTTGACGTGTTTTGTACAAAAAACGTCAAAACAGCAGTGTTGAGTACATTTAGGAACTCTCTAGTGTTAGTTAGATAAGATTTCGGACACAGAAATGAGAACTGTTAGTGTTTTTGAATGTTTAGATTCATTAAGTTACACACCTTGCATTGTGACAACAGCACCATAGACGTCCCGCGCTTTTTCATTCAAAATAGTCCGAATTTGACGAAATATAGTTCAATAAACTATTGAGAAAGAAGCATAAATAAAAATGTCTTGCTGTGTATTGACTTTTGGGAATTTTGAAGAAAATGGATTCCATGGCTAATACACTTTTTTTGGCAAAAATACTTCGTTTTCATGAAAACATTTCCAAAGCATTGAGTTTGTCATGAAAATTGATCCTTTGGCACTGAAATTTGTCACCATAATACCTAGTTGCAACATAGAACTTTTCCTTCAAGAAGAACAAGTTATATTCTTGAACTATATAGATATAGTAAGGCCGACTTCACTGCCTCTAGAACAATTTTTATCACCATCTCAATGCTTTGCAGTTATTTCCATAAGAACAGACGATTTATGCAAAAAAAAATCTGTAGCCCCTTCAAAAATGCCCATTTTTGAAATACACTCCGAAACGAAGACAGATTTCGATATGCAGATTTCATCATTGAGTTTTTCATGAGAATAGACCCACAGGCATCGACATCAGTTTCCTTCCATCTGGTTCGAGAATAGGACTTTCCCTTTAAAAGTGTACATTTTGGCCCACCCTGTACATTAATTGAAATTCACTTCCTTCAAAAGCAGATCAGAATGAAACTATATTTCAGGCCCATTTTCAAACAAATAATTTAAAGATTCGTTTGAGAGAATTTGCTGTTCCATCCATTTACTGAACCAAAATCATCACACGAAATGAAACACAAAATTATCATGGAAAGAGAGGAATTGATTGCAAAACTATACGTAATGAAATTTAAAATTTCGTTTTCAATTCCGACCGAAGTAGCTATGAGTATATCCAGATGTGACTATTTTGTTATATTGAAATGTTGTTACATGCATTCTTTTCATTTTTATAAATGTAGTTCTGCAAAAAGTGCCGTATCGCTATTGAATCAGTTGGGTGTTTATTAACCCTATGATTGATTCGACACAAAAACTTACCTCCAAAATCGTATCTGACAATCAGGTGCTATTTGGAAAATTGAAAAGACTTAGAGCAGAATATATGCCTTATTCGTTCATTCACTGGAACCATTGTAATATAGAAAATAGAAAAGGACAGAAGCTCAGGTGTGTCCAAACTCTCCTCTTTCCTATAAAGTGACACAACGTTACTACTACCTTGTATTTCATTGCATTTTCAGATTCTCCCTGGAAATTTGAATTCATCGTAGTATCACACTTGGTGACTAGCGGGAACTATCTACTGAATCTTGAACCACCCTGTATTTGTTCCAATTGAATGTCAATAGATAGTGAATCAAAAGTTGAGATAGGGACATGTGAGCCGTAAGAACAATCTCGATTTTCAACACCCTATATCTCTGTAATATTTCCTGCTGGACTTCAAGTGTGATATATTCATGGAATCAGCTATTCAAGGAAAATCTAGACATTCAATGAAATATAGGGTGTTTTATCTGAAATAACAGAGTTGCTACTACTATTGCAGAAGATATTATTAACACTCTTTCAAAAGAAACATCGGATATAGATGCAATTGCTCATATGGAAGGCATTTCTACTCCTTGTAAATCTTTTTTTTTAATGCCCATCACTAATAATGAAGTAATTGAAGCTGTGATTAAACTGAAAAATTCGGCATGTACTGATGTATACAACATCAATAGTAAAATTGTGAAAGCACTGTTAGATATTTTGGCTCATCCATTAACACAACTTTTCAACCTGTGTATACGGGAAGGGAACTTCCCCGATGTTTTCAAGGCAACGAAAGTGATTCCTCTTTTCAAAAAAGGTGATGTTGCCAAAATCGACAATTACCGTCCTATTTCCATAATCCCAATTTTCTCAAAAATATTTGAAATTATTTTGAAATCCAGGCTGATGTTATACGTGGAATCTAATAACTTGATAGATCCATGTCAATTTGGATTCAGGAAGAGATGTAGTACAACCCAAGCAGTTTTTAGGGTAGTGGGTGACATAGTGGAAGGCTTGGAGGATGGAAAAAATGTATCAGTAACATTATGTGATCTCTCCAAGGCTTTCGACTGTGTCTCTCACAGTATATTGGTCGAAAAGCTGAGGTTTTTTGGAATTCGGGGATTGGCACTAGATTTCTTCAGATCTTATCTGAGTAATCGGAAACAATGTGTGAGTATCAATGTTTCATCATCTGAATACCGATCAGTTATACATGGAGTACCACAAGGCTCTGTGTTAGGTCCTCTCTTGTTCATTATTTACGTAAATGATCTGTTTCATAACATGCATCCCAAGACTTGTGTTGCTTTCGCAGACGACACAACCTTGGTTGATGCTAGCTCGGATATTGAAGATTTGAAGGTGAATAGTTCTATAACTACTACTCGTGCTAAAAAATGGTTTACTTCCAATAATCTCAAACTCAATGACGAAAAAACACAAAATCTCATTTTCTCAACGAACAATAACATTGTTAAAGGTGATAGTGTCAAGCTGCTTGGTTTGGTCATCGATGATAAACTAAATTGGTCTTGTCATGTTCGAGAATTATCCCGAAAACTTTCAAGCACAATATTCGTGCTACGCAATTTGAGTAAACAGATATCCAGAGAAACTATGAGATCATGTTACTTCTCTTTATTCCATTCTCATCTCAGTTACGGCACGATGTTGTGGGGTAACTCTTGTCATGCTGAAAAAATTTTTCGTTTGCAGAAACGTGCTGTCAGGATCGTAGCCGGTGCTGGTTTCAGAGACCACTGTAAACCAATTTTTAAAAGTTTGAATATAATGCCTCTTCCATCATTATATATTTTTGTTTCACTGTTGGAAATTAATAGGAATAGAACGAACCTCGTGACGAATTCAGATGTCCATAACTATATGACAAGGAATGCTAATAATCTAAGAGTACCAAATCACAGGCTGGCAAAGTCAACGAAAAACTCACCAGATCTGAATTTATTCAATCGTCTCCCTAGTGCTATAAGATTATTGGGTGAAAATGCAAAATCATTCAAGTCCGCAATTAAGAAACATATTTTAACTCATTGTTTTTATACAGTCGAAGAATATTTCCACACGCCATTTGTTGAATCTGATAACCACAGTTAGCAAGGAGAACGCTGTACCAAATTCTTAAGTTTGAAACATGGTTTATATTGTTTTGGTTTCAAAAATTTTAATTTATAATTTTATTGAATTTACTGTAATGTGTATGTATTTTATTATTCTATTCTTCCACAATTGACTTGCCGAAAACAAATGTATTTTGTAACTTGGTCAAATAAACATCTATCTATCTATCTATCTATCTATCTATCTATCTATCTATCTATCTATCTATCTATCTATCTATCTATCTAATAAGTGGCAACATCGCATTGTCGACAATATTTTAGACGGATAGAGCATACACTGCACAGGACAGTCATGCAAGATATCTAGTAGTTTATATTTCTTGATCTCTGGTGAATCAAACATCATTTTCTCTTTATCCCTAGGAATAAAAATAGTTATTTATTATACAAGGGAAAAAAGTAGTAGATTTTAGCTAAAATTTAATATTTTTCTCGTGTATAATACACTATTTTTTTCTGTGACAGAAGAAAGGACGAATCAATATTGAGAAGATATTACATCATTTCGAAATCTGAAAATTATCGACTTGAAATTTTAAGTTTTTAACAGTAGGGACACCTGCGTTATAGGCATCTTTATCATTCTTTTGAAGTAATCAACTATCTGTTGTCACTTCTGTCAGTCTAATTCTGTGATTTGATTTCGAAAAATTGCGAATTTAGTGGTTGTTTAGTAATAGACGTAACCGCGAAGTCGAATGGAAGATAAAAGGACTTGCAGTTCTTTCTCGGAGACGGTATTATTGACTCATTTTTCGGAACTATAGCACAACAAAAGCCATCAACAGCGCATATATGTGATATATATCCAGGAAAAAAGTACTCACTTTTTTCCCACGGGAAAAAAGTAATTTATGAAAAGTGACATTTTATAACCTGCCAACAGAGATGAAATGCCAAACTTTTTTCCCGTCACAGAAAAAACTTAATATTGCAACATAATAGTCATAATTTTTTCATTCTTTAACTCCTGATGATTTTGACATTTGATTGACATTTTTCTATGTACGTTATCTAGTTCAAGAATTTGTTTTCAGTTACCAATGTGAATATGCAACTGCTAACACCTCAATTTAACCACATCAGTATGGAGATGCCATCGTTTCCACTTTTGTCTCAGAGAAATGAGATATCTGACGGGATGTTTTGTAACAAGGAAACTATGAATAAAACAGACTGTATGGACCTCCATTGCCAGTGTCATCATGGAATACATGTAAGCCCACCTCAATAATCAGAAGAGACTCCACCCTTGGTCATTAGAATCAATCAGAAAATCGACCATATTCACGGTTTCTTTCGTATTACGGCGATATTTTTTTTTTACTAAGTTTTATCGGACTTGCTATACCAATACAGAAGCCGAATTGACCCAACCTTTACAATGTAATAACATGAATAATCAGACTGATTCATATCTCGTATGAGATTATTCATGCGTTATTAAATTTAATTTATTGAAATAAACAACATATACAAGAACAATAATAATCATCAAAAATCTCATGAAAAGTACATTATGACATGATGAAATGAATTAGTGAATGAGAAATCATTCACTCAGGTTTGATTTTTTCTCTGCAAGAGGATATGTTTCTTGACTTTAATCTTGAATCGGGTGATATTTGTGCAACTTTTGATATCATCTGGTGATTTATTGAATTTTGAGATAGCTCTGTGAGTGAACTTTTTTTGGCCAAGTGTAGAATTAGCAGCATCAAGATCAAACAAGTCATATTGTCTAGTATGATGTTCATAGAATTGGAAATTCCTTACGAATATGAAGATAGATTTGAGGTGTTTGTTGATATTATCATAAGAAATTTTGGAGAGTATTGATCAGATAAAGTTGATTCGATGGTGTGTCATAAGGAACACGATACAGTACTTTTAATGCTTTCTTATATAGTACACATATCTTGTTAAAATTATTCTTTGAATATGACCACAAATATTCATGAGATCAGAGTTCATACAAGTATACTTCTCATATATATTTCAATTTTCATTTCAATACTGAACATATTGGTAAGTTAAATTTTTATATCATAATACATCATAAATATGGACTTGCCCAACATAATTGATTGATTGATTGTCTTTATTACCCCAAGAAACATTTCTGTTTATGATAGGGATACATAAATACATATAAAAAAATAATAATACAGGGTTAACTATAATCAATTCCACTCAGTGGAAACGAATTAATAATGTCTTTTCTCTAGAAGAAAAAAGCTTGTCAGGAGTAACCATACCTTTGAAGACATCCATTTCGATGCTTGGTATTACTATCAGCAATAACCTTTCTTGGAATATTCACGTGGGATCAATTGCTAAAAGTGCATTCCAAAAACTTTCTGTTTCGGGCCAGGAGCTATTTCATTTCCAGTCTTATGATCTATAAGGCACAGATTCGACCTGTCCTGGAATACTATTCCCATATTTTTAGTGCAGCACCCAAACATACCCTGAAACTGTTGGATTCTGTCCAAAAAAGGCAATTCGTCTCGTGGGTGATGCCTCGCTCACAAACTCACTCACTCCTCTGGAACACCGTAGAAAAATTGGCGATCTAGCTCTATTTTATAGTTCCATCCTTGACAGTCCCCGCGAGATCAACCCGTCGAGTTTAGGCTTTGCACCCCTTCGTGGTCACTTTGGAGACCTGCAGAACATCTCTTTCCAAAGACTCGTTCATCCAACGAACAGCGAGGCTCTGGAACACATTGCCAAGGGAGGTGTTCCCCGAGGCATGTAACCTCCAGAAATTTAAGAAGAACACCAATTCCTACCTTATTTCCCTTGGTTCTCACGACGTTCTCTGAACATACATGATATGCTTTTCGTGGGAACCAGAACATAAAAAAAATCCGATTTGAGAGATGATAGAAACTCTCAATTTCAGAAGATTTTCATTTTTCTTGCTCTCTTTCTGGATATTCAACAGATAGAATTCAATGTTCGACGTGGCAAATAGCCAGGAAAGTAGTTGTTTCCCGTTGAATATTCAGAATGATAATATTATGTGCATATCTTTATATGAAGGAGAATGCAAATTCTCTACTTCAGAAGATTTTGTATTCAAATTCTCATCGTGTTTGTTCAATAGATTTAATTCAATGTTCGTCGTGGCATATAGCCAGGAAATATTTGGACATCTCCTTAGAGCACCAACTATGGGAGAAAATTTTCCTTTGAGCATGTCAATATGCTTGATACCACGTTAACTTCTCTTCAATCCATATACCAAGGTATTTGATGGTACGAGCAGTTTGTTTCATTCCTTCAGATCCCTCTGAATGCCATAGTGGAACTCATCTTCGTGGACGAAGGCTTCGCCTACGACGCCAACCATCCAATGCATCTCCACGGGTACAACTTCAGGGTGGTAGCCATGGAAAGGATGGGGACGAACGTCACGGTGGAGGAAGTGCAGAAGAGGGATGAAATGGGGCTGATCGAACGGAACCTCCTAGCGCCTCCCTTGAAGGATACCGTCACTGTTCCAGACGGAGGGTACACAATCGTCCGATTCAAGGCTTCCAATCCAGGTAGGCCTTTTTGGATATAATCTATGTGTAATAGTATCACCTCATACTTGAATAATGGATTCCCAGTATTCATTGATATGATGTTAGTTGTCAGTTGACATGAGTGTGGCAGGCAGTTAATAAAGTTAGATCTTGATATAATATTCATCTCATTACAATACGGACAGCCATTATTGCGAGTAGTACTAGTAGTTGGTATGCTCTACTCCAAATACGGCTCATCCATTCATTTCAGATTTTTAATACAAAGATTCTTCTTTATTCCAGATTATTTGAGATTTTCTCTCCTCGTCTCTATGACATAAAAATATCAAATTTATTTCAATATACGTGTAGTAAGGACAAATCAGAGTATTGGATCTTTCTTTTATTTTATTCAGACCAGGGAAGAGTCCCTCTTATCCTGATATCTATTATGGAAACCTTATATGGAACAAAATAAAAACGGTATTGAAGTTTGATGCGAACAGCCCTTCTGCCCCAAATAAGTTTCAGAAATACATTCTAAGAATTGAAAGAGATCGAACGGAAAAAATAAATATCAAAAACTTGAGAATAGTAAATTTGGTCATAATGTCGATATTTTCTCTAGTTTATGGACAAGCTCGGTCTTTTGAACTTTGATTGATCACCTGGGTCATAATCAACTGCATTTCGAAGAAGCTGATTCTCATGAACCTCTGCTTTTTCGAAAGTCTTGATGTTTCGTTCTTTAATGACTGACACGATTGAAGGGAGTTTCAGATCCCTGGCGATCTGGTTATTCCGAACATACCATCAAGGAGATCCTGTCACCATTCTCGCGACTTTGTTTTGTAATGTTTGTAATCTGGTGATATGAGATTTAGCTGTGTGGCCCCAGACTACTGAGGCATACAGTAAAATTGGCCTGATAGCCATGATATAAATATTCAATTTTTGTCTCAAACCCAATTTACTTCGCCTGTTTAGAAATGGATACAGGGCTCCAATGGCTATCGTTTAGCTTTAGAAACTTGCTGTTCAATGTGCTGGGCCCAAAATGTCACTGCGTTCAAAGAATTTTCCTATCAGAGAGTCTAAAAGTAAAATTCCCTAGCTTGTCAGTAACAATTTGTTCATAACATTGATTCCATGGTATTATACAGAGTGATTCAGTAGTACTTGTAATGTATCTCAGGGGTCTGGGTTGGCGGGGTTCGGCTGAGTAAAAAATTGCTCGTCGGGTTGCAGATCTTTATTCAAACTGCAGGAACAGAGGTGAAATGCAGCAGAGGCGAAGGGAGACCAGTTCTTTAGTCTAAATACATCCAAGTCTACCAAAGGGCATAAAAATTAACTCCTAAGCCAGAACACACTGGTTACACTTGCTAACATTAAAACCGATGATTCATAATTCGTCATGCTCGACAAATCTTAGGTTAAGTTCTACAATTTATCTAAAATGGGTTTCACCTACCTACAAAAGGGCATAGGCGAGAGGTCCAGCGCTGCCAGGAGCGTAGACGCTACAATAAAACCAAAAACACCCTCTGCAAAACTGGATGCACAATGATTTAAAAACAATAAACTTTACAGTTTCAACATTGAGGCACCATCTTCTAATTTCCTTCTCTCTCCCCCCCCCCGTTCAGATAACCCTGACTTCCTTTCGAATGAAAATAGGCGCGCGATTTAAATAAATGACCCTGGCTCAACTCGCGATTATTCAGCCGTGTATGCTTGGTTGCCGCAATTCAGACGCGATCTGTTACATACTTAGACAAACTTTAGGAGGTGAATCTTCACAATTCTGATTCCTGATCCCCAAGGTTATTAGATGGCATTGTGATGACATTCAGAACTACGGAAAAACATCACCCAACTCCTGGCATACATTGAAGAATTAGAGCATTGCCAGCTCCCAAAAATAATATGATGAAGAGATTGCGAAATGATAAACATGATCATTGTTGACAATAACTCAACATAAATGATCAACATGATTGAGGCAGGAACCTGCAAAACATGAAGGAATAGTATGGAGAATACGGACCTAGATGAATTTCGTTAGATATCTCGAATATCAAGAAAACAATTTTTTCATCGCTCACGACTCCACCGTGAATTTTCGTATATAGGCTGACTTCAATCAGGCTGATTCAATCAGCCATTTGTGACCTCCAGTTCACCCTATAGAATTCATTAAACGATGGTCTTGGACACCCTGTAATAAATATATCCACATTATCTGCCCATGATAAAAAAATACAATATGAGACTGTGAATCCAGCTAGAAAATGTTTTCGTACGGACGACAGCATCGCATCACAGATATTTGATATAATCCTTCCTTTTTTGGCTTGCAGATATAAAGCAATATCGAATGTCAAAGAGTGGGTAGAAGCATGCGATTTGAGGTATTGCTTTAAAAAAAAACCAATTACTTTACGTGTACCTTCCATGCATCATCAGCACGAATCGATATGATACCGATCCGACTCAACGGATCATTCATCAATTAATCAATCAAGTTAATTTCTTGTTGCGGCGACATTCAATAACAGAGCCTTAGTACACCCATAATTATTCCACTGCCAGATTTGGCGCATTCAAATGGTTCTATACTAGTACGGCCAAAAGCTTTATTACATGCTGGTTGAATCCATATAGAGGCAAATTTGTGGAGAAGACTTCGAGTATTCCTTTCTTCCTTTAAAAAATTTCACTCCACTTTGAGCAATATGGACTTCTACCAAAGACTGGAAGCATTTGTTATCTCTGGTTCTAGAAGCTCCTTCCATTTGCTGATGACTCTGCTCTGCTCTGCTCTGCTTCAGAAGATAGATACCTTGTACCTCCACATTGATAGTTTGTGAATCGAATACCTTTGATCGGAAAATAAATATACAAAGCCGATTCTATTTACTATTGGTTGAGCTTCAGCAAATTTACACATCGTCTGAAAGATTTCTTTGTTGTAAGTACGATGAAAAACACAACTGGTTGGCCCCTAAAGGAATCCCAAACGTTCTTCTTGTACTTAATAGGTAGGTTCTAGTTTTTTTTCCCTGTGAATGTTGAAGGAAAGATAATACAAAACCTTATTCCTCATTAATGTTCCTACAACATTGCCAAAACAGTTCTAGAATCCGATTATCGTTTATCGAGATCTTCAACTTAGAAAGAGTGTATCATATTCAGTTGAGTTGGATGCAAAGGCATGTGTATATTTTCACTTGCCTTTGCTTGGTCGACGGAGTTTCATCTGACTCTCTCATCATAAATGCTGGTGTTCCCCAAGGATCAATTCTAGCACCAACACTATTTCTACTCCATATTGACGATTTGTTGGAAGCAACTTCATGTCCAGTACACAGCTTCACCGATGATAGTACCCCCCATACCGCCTTCTCTTCCAGGGCTCCAATTCCAGCCAGGCAAATTAGAAACGAACGAGAGAGAAATGTTGACAACATAAATAAGGACTTGGCAACAATTCTCGAATGGGGATCCGATGACTTGGTAGATTTCAATGCGAACAAAGCACAAGCATGTCATAAGCTTGTCAGGAGTAACCATACCTTTGAAGACATCCATTTCGATGCTTGATATTACTATATCAGCAATAACCTTCCTTGGTAAAATCACGTGAGATCAATTGCTAGAAGTGCATCCCAAAAACTTGGTTTTCTGTTTCGGGTCAGGAGTTATTTCACTTCCAGTCACCTGCTTATGATCTATAAGGCACAGATCCGACCTGTCCTGAAATACTGTCCTTATATTTGGAGTGCAGAACCCAAACATACCCTGAAACTGTTGGATTCTGTCCAAAAAAGGGCAAATCGTCTCATGGGTGATGCCTCGCTCACAAACTCACTCACTTCTCTGGAACACCGTAGAAAAGTTGGCAATCTGGCTCTATTTTATGGATATTTTCATGGACGATCCTCTTCTGAAATATCAACAATTGTTCCTCCCGTGGCAGTCCCCGCGAGATTAACCCGTCGAGTTGAGGCTTCGCATCCCTTCGTGGTCACTTTGGAGACCTGCAGAACATCTCTTTACAAAGACTCGTTCATCCAACGAACAGCGAGGCTCTGGAACACATTGCCAAGGGAGGTGTTCCCCAAGGCATATAACCTCCAGAAATTTAAGAAGAACACCGATTCCTACCTCATTGCCCTTGGTTCTCACGATGTTCTCTGAACATTACAGAATATCCCTTTTCGTGAAAACCAGAAAATAAAAAAAGTAACTTCTAAAAACGGCTGAAGATGGACTTTTATAAGTCCGAAACATGCCCCTTTGATTGATTTACATCAGTAATAAAGTAGTGGAGATGACTTTGAGCTTCCCTTCTTCATTTTGAAATGATCCGTCACCAAAGGTTAAACTTTCAGATACCTAGTATACCATCAAGCTTCTATGTTCCTTTCCCCATGCAGAATTTTGACATGGATTAACATTCTAGGGTACTGGTTTCTTCATTGCCACCTGGAGTTTCACGCAGAAATCGGCATGGCGATGATAGTGCAAGTAGGTGAGAAAGAAGACATGTTGCCAGTTCCTCAAGATTTCCCCAAATGTGGGAATTACTTACCAGATCCTTTGGCTGCTCCATCAGAAGTGAACCGTAGCAGTGGAAGCGGGAGAATTAAGACCAAGTTGGTCTTTGTGATTTCATTGGTATCACTCATGTGTCAGCTGAATCTTATTCAGTATTATTAATAATTGCTGAGACTGATTTTCATCATAAATAGCCATGTAATTGTAAATAAAAAGAAGAAGGGAACAAAAGTTTTCAAAATTTCAATTTCTGAAAGGAATTTGATGTTGACTATTCTGGATTTCAGTATATTTCGTCGGTTGATTTCAATAACAACTATAGGCATTTTTAGTTCAATCAACGAACACTAAAAAAGGCTGAATAGAGGAAAAGAATCGTGTAGTCGCAAATTTTTGTATAGTGGTAAAGGGGAGTGTCATTAACAACATACTAAAAGTCCTGACCCGTAGGGGATGAGCGCGATGGTGGGGGTGTGATTGAAGGTCATTTTCTCAATCAATTCTTGAATAATTCGAAAATCGTGACCTCTAGCGAAAAAATATAGGTATACAAAATTGGACTACTTAAAATTTTCTATAAAAAAGTTCCTATTCACTTGTTGTCTACAATGGATAGTTTCTGAGATACAGGGGAAACAAAAATCGAAAAGTATAAAGAATAGTTTACTGATATGCAATTCATGTTTGTTGTGTCACTATTGTCCTGCGTTTCATGAAATGTATACCTATAGACTGCTTCTCATCAAATGATGGCTTTTACTATGAAAATAAGGACTGGTAGCATAAACTATTCTAATGAATCAACTCAGCTAACTTTGTTCGTATCTACGTTGCCATATATATGAATAAATTGATTACTCAATCGTCTGTCAAATACCTACTCTACCTGCAAAAGTTACCTATGAACAATAGCTGGAAAGTGTTTGATTTGTGAGTGTGATGTTGTCAGCAATGTATGTAATGTTGGTGAGAAAGGGATACGTGGATTGGTGAATGCAAGTAACTTGAGGATAGATGGAAAAGCTGAAGGTTTCAAGAACAAAAAACAAGGTGTTATTCATCCATCATGCAGAAAGGAATATATTAGAGTTGACTCAATTAAAAAAACTCTGAGAGAAGCTCATTCAGAGCAACAACAACCTTCAACGTCCCAGGAATTCCTACATTTACGTTCAGCTGAAGTGAAATTTGATTTAAAAACTGACTATCTGTTTTGTGCGGAAGCTATAGATGATGATGATGATTAATTGTTGATATTATTAGAACGTATTCATTCAATTATGTCTGTTCTCAATGAGTTATGTATTTTTTCTGTTAATATTCAAGTTAAACACCACTTCCATACCATTAAACTCTATTTTCGATACTTCTCGATTTTTTCATCCCCTGTATCTCAGAAACTATCCATTGTGGACAACAAGTGAATAGAAACTTTTTTATTGAAAATTTTATTTACTTCAATTTTGTATACCTATATTTTTCCGCTAGAGGTCGCGATTTTCGAATTATTCAAGAATAACTTGAGAAAATGACCTTAGAACGCTCCCCCACCATCGCGCTCATCCCCTACGGGTCAGGACTTTTAGTATGTTGTTCATGGCACTTCCCCCTGCCACTCTGCAAAAATTTGCGACTACACGATTTTTTTCCTCCATTTTTCGTTCCTTTACTGAACTATTTTCAAAGTATGTGAAGATAATGTGTTAAACATACAGTGTATTGCAAAATTCAACCGACATTGATTGTCAGGTAGAGACTTAGAAATGAAATATGTTTTTGCAATGTCTACAACGGTTGAATTTCTCACATTCGAATACGATATATGGATTCATCTTCAAATATTGGTCGGTTTTCGACCAAGAAGTCATTACGGAAATTTCAGTGTTGTTCTAAGGGGGCTCCAAATTTTTCCTACGCTACTGTTGAAATATTGAAAATTTTCAATTTTTCGGATTTCCTGTTCAATGATATTGAGAAAAAGAACGGTTTTCGAAATATTTGACCATAAATGAAATCTTGCATAGGCTATTATTTCATCATTTGCAATAGCAGATTACAAAAAAAATGTTTTTGAGTGGTGAGTAGATCAATACTTCTTGAGTAGTTAAGTTATTTTCTGCTGAAAGAAAGAATTAATATTTATATGATTTCTCACTGTTGCGAATCATGAAAAATTACTATGCAAACTTCTTTTTTGAGTTGAATATTTCGAGAACTCTTCAATTCAGTTCAATTTTTCTACAGAATTGAACAGGAGATTTGAATAACTGAAAATGATATAGATAAAAAGTAACAACAACTCCTTGTGGTGAATCATTTGTTGGATAATGCCCGAAATTACTGTCAACAATTGGGAATTTCAAAGAGGAAATCATATATGCCGAAATCGATTGAGCCGTTATCGGGTTGATCTTCAAAACTAACCAGTAGAAGACCTTAAGTTTCTTTTTTATTCCATATCAAATCACGTTATGAAGCGTTATTGTCGGTTGAATTTCGGTACATCCTGTATGAGTGCTGCTGCCAGTGATTTACATTGTGATATTTAGTAATAAATATTTTTTATATCAAATGAATGTGTTTTTGATTTCAATTCACTCCATTTCATTGCATCAGTCCGCTTGCATTACATTCGTTTATTTATTTTCTCTAAGTATACAGGGTGTCCGTTTTTCGAGCTCCATGGGGATCTCAGTTATTATAAGAGATACGAGGTCGGTTGAATCAGAGCAAAGTTGCGCACCCAGACAGCACTGGATATTCCTAGAATATTCTCTAAATATGCTAAAAAGTAGGAGTATATTCCGAATATTCATCGATTATTCCTAGAATATATACATGCCTGTGGAACATCTAGAAGGAATATTCCAAAGTGATGTTCAGGGAATATTCAGGTATGAATTTTCCAGGAATATTCCCAAATGAATATTCTCTCTTGTATATTCATGAAATATTCCCAACTGAATGTTCTGTGGGGTATATTCATGAAATATTCTCAACTGAATATTCTGTGCGGTATATTCATGAAATATTCTCAACTGAATATTCTGTGGTGTATATTCATGAAATATTCCATGAATATTCCTATGTTTCTCAACACATAAATACCCATCATTATTTCAGAGTTGTGAGTATCGAACATCAAAATTAGATGTAAGGGGATTTTGAAACAAAAAGTGTTTTATGATCCGATTTCGAACAACGCTCTCACAAGAAATTGATATGTACAACATCATTCAATTCGATTACTGGCCTAGTGGTCAAGGCGTTGGTCTGATAGTCTAGAGGTCACGAGTTCGATCCCTACTAGGGTCACTTTTTTTATTTTAGAATATGTTTATTGGAATATTCCAGGAATATTCAACATGGAATATTCTTTAGGATATATTCTATGAATATCTGAGGAATTCCCATTCGCATATTTAGAGAATATTCCACAGATATTCCGGAATATTCCAGATTATTTCTAGAATATTCCAATATCCCAAAAGGAATATGATAGGGAGATTCATGGAATATCTGGTGCTGTCTGGGCATTTTCATGCTGAACATTCATCTGCAAGAAAATTTGATGTGCCATTTTTAGTTTTTGAATTATTGGAAGAAAACAAAAATTTATAGTTTTAGTTTTTATTTTTTCGAGCGGAAACCAAAATCCCTAGACATTTTTGACTGGGATATTCTTGAGGCACTCTTTTACAAGGAATCTGAATCTGTCATTATATTTTCCATGACGTTCTTGATGCCAAAGTTACAACGCACAACTTTGTTTTCTTTAATGGGCGCCATATTGGATTTCTGCATAATTGAAAAGTATTTTTTTTATTACAATGATGTATCACACGATATGATCGAATCTTTCCTGTTAATCAAAATTGGGAAAACACCAATTTTGCGAAGAGTGCTTTGGAAAGAACGCCAACAGTCGCAGGGTATAACATGAAGTTGTAGTCATGTTGTAGCCATCTTGTGGCAAAGCTCTAAGGTAGGATACAGAGATATCGCGACATACACTGTATGGCGCTGCCATCTATAGTCACACGTACAGACCCCTACGTCTATACGCTACAGAGTGGTACTACAAGTAAATCATTCTACTGACAGTTTTGATGAATTTCGACAGTTTATTAGAATTTGGCTGGAACGTTCACATTTTTGTCAAGCTCGTCTACTTAAAAACTATAGTTTTGAATTAGAAACGACGTAATGAGCTAGAATAAGTTCATTCTTCGGCAAACAAACCAGTCTAGAGACAATTCTACGCGTTTCCTCAGATTCTGAATTACTCGCGAGATGTCCCGTCTTCTTATCTTAGTCCTGAAAGTGATGATTATGGTTCTTCTCAGCTCGTCAATATCGATCGGTGCAGTTTTGAAAATCAAATCTTTCATATTTCCCAATAAATAATAATAATCCAGCGGAGACAGATCAGGTGACCGCGCTGGCCAACATATGTCTCCGTTGTTCGAAATTACCTTGTCAGGGAATATATCTGACAGACACTCGGCAACCCATCTTCTCAAGAATTCAACAGTTCTATTCGCATATTCAATGGGCTTATATCACAAAACATTTTTATTTCATAATTCGATAGAACTTCCCCAAACCAGGGCCTACTCTATACAGTAGGCCCTGCCCAAACTAGCTCACCACCGAAAACCGTTTCTTGTTGTGAGCTCCCTACGTTTTATAAAACATATTGAAATCCCCGATTTTTCGGACCTCTGAAAACGAGGCGATGATGTGACGTCGAAACCCTAATACTGAAACAAGACTATTCCAGACAGAGATGAATGATACATGATTTCTGACAGAGTGAATTAGCGCGAGATCACAGTTGAAAGAATTAATATATCAGTTGCCTCAGTCTCCGTCGGGCGTTAGGTATTTTCTTTTAACTATGGCGAGATGAGGTTTCTTCGTCATAAGAGGGTCCGTTTTCAGAAGGTACTATTATTTATGTCCAAAAATGAAACATTCCAGTTAATTTTTCGATCGAATTATGTCGTCAATCATCATTTATGTATAAAAGGATCATTATAAACATGGTTTGAGTTAGAAGTTCTACTAAGGTGTACACGCCCATTGAACTGTCAAAATTCAGTTTGTTAAACACAACTGTTGGTGTTCCTTCCAAAACACTCAGATCCCTTGTTAAAAAGTGCCTCAAGAAATTCCTAGTAAGAAACGCCAAGGTATGTTGGTTTTCGCTTGAAAAAATAAAAACGAAAATTACAAATTATCGTATTCTTCAAATAATTCAAAAACTAAAAATTACACATCGAATTTTCTTCAAGATAAATGTTCAGCATGAAAATGCACAACTTTCTCCTAATTTAGCCGACCTCGTATCTTTTAAAATGATTGAGATCCCCATGATGGAGATCGAAAAACAAGCACTCTGTATCTGTGGAATAGAGTGTGCAAATAATAACCGTGTAGGTACATTATCCCTAGTGGTTAAAACACAGAAGAGGATGTTAATGGATGGTTTTAATTGTATTTCTGAATAGAGACAACGTTTTTTACATTACATAAATGTATTTGCGAATATCACATTTCTTAGGGAAATCGTGTGGGTGAATATGATAAATGAGTTAATCAATCCGTCAGTGCGTCAGTTAATTTCATATGTTTTCTTCCATAGAGTTTTGTTGATCCACATGCGTGAGGGAATTATATCATCAATGATTATTTCTGATGGTGCTTGAGACTACACAGTGTATTTATTTATTCAATTTTTCAGTAGACAATTGCAAAAAAGTTGTATAGGAATAGTCAAGCGGGTAAACTTATACCTAAATATGATACAAAACAACACAAAAATGAATATGGATAATATAGTACAATATAGTACAATTGAAACGAATATAGTAAAATAGTATTACACTTAATAAGTATGATATGATAGTTGGTATTGTAGGTAATGATTGAAATCACAAAGCAAAACAGTATGTATAAAACGTCAGAACGAGTGGTATTGCTGTACGGCTAACTGGCTATCGGGAATGATTGTTTACTAAATGTTGACAGTTGTCATAGGGTGCCAAAAATACAGAGCATTAGCTGAGCCAGTTTTACACAACTAGATTTGAGATGACGTTAACTTCTCTGTTTAATACTTGTACGCTTTTTTATTGAATACAACTGTACCTACCTATTGTATACAATGTCTGAATCTGGAGCAGGGAAACGAAAATACATCAACAGTTTATTGAGGTCGCTGAGTCGTCCTGAATATACCTATACCAAATATTTGTTAGGGTCTTAGAGTCTTTATAACACTTATATAGGGTGTTATATCGATTTTGTTCATTTCTTTATTGGGTCATAACTAAACGAACCACATATAGCCCATAAAATAGGATCAAACATTATACCTAGGTAATCTATGGTAGAAGTCCATCGTATCTCAAAGTGAAGTGGTTAGTTAATAAGAATCAAAACACAAAGTCGACTGACACCACAATTTCAATAATAATCAAATTACTAACATGTACAATGATAGCACCTTGGCTTCCGTCATCAGTGATCAACTGGTGACCTGCTCGCTTACGTCTCACATATATGGCAGCAATCTATTGAAAAATATGGCGAAACCTTAGCCCTGGCACTTGATATCTCCAAGGCATTCGATCGAGTCTGGCACCACGGACTCCTCGCCAAGCTTCCATCTTATGGCTTGCTTCCCCACCTATGTTCTCTGCTAGTTAGTTTTCTCTCAAACAGGTCTCTCCATGTAGTAGTCGACGGAGTTTCATCTGACTCTCTTATCATAAATGCTGGTGTTCCGCAAGGATCAATTCTAGCTCAAACACTATTTCTACTCCGTATCAACGATTTGTTGGAACAGGTTGGAAGCAACTTCATGTCCAGTTCCAGTACACAGCTTCGCGGATGATAGTACAATCCATATACCGCCATCTCTTTCATCAGGACTCCAATAACAGCCAGGAAAATCAGAAACGAACGAGGGAGAAATGTTGACAACATAAATATGGACTTGCCAACAATTCTCGAATGTGGATTCAATAATTTGGTAGATTTCAATGCAAACGAAACACAAGCATGCCTTTTCTCTAGAAAAGCCGATTTCACTGTGCCCAATATAAGCTTGTCAGGAGTAACCATACCTTTGAAGACATCCATTTCGATACTTGGTATTACTATCAGCAATAACCTTTCTTGGGAAAATCACGAGAGATCAATTGCTAAAAGTGCATTCCAACAACTTGGTTTTCTGTTTCGGGCCAGGAGCTATTTCACTTCCAGTCAGCTGCTTATGATCTATAAGGCACAGATCCGACCTGTCTTGGAATACTGTTCCCATATTTGGAGTGCAGCACCAAAACATACCCTGAAACTGTTGGATTCTGACCAAAAAAGGGCAATTCGTCTCGTGGGTGCTGTCTCGCTCACAAACTCACTCAATTCTCTAGAACACCGTAGGAAAGTTAGCGATCCGACTCTATTTTATAGATATTTTCATGGACGATGCTCTTCTGAAATATCAACAATTGTTCCTCCCTTGGCAGTCCCCGCGAGATTAACGCGTCGAGTTGAGGTTTCGCACCCCTTCGTGGTCACTTTGGAGACCTGCAGAACATCTCTTTCCAAAGACTTGTTCATCCAACGGACAGCGAGTCTCTGGAACACATTGCCAAGGGAGGTGTTCCCCGAGGCATATAACCTCCTACAATTTGAGAAGAACACGATGATCTGATTGAGCACCTGATTAGGTCACTGTTAAAATTGTGTTTCGATCACTGGTTATCTTGTAAATGTAATGATACAAAGCACCCAGGGAAAAATAGCATTCTCTCCTGATGAGGTTCTATATGTATAATATTTTTCACGCTGGCGAAAACACAAAAATTAAGAAAGAATAATGTTTTGTCGTAATTAGTAGTAGTATTCGCGAAAATCACGAACCAATAGATGGCTCTATTAAACGTCTAATCAACGTCAAATTTCAAACTGAGTATGAACAACAAAAACATTGCCGTATGCACTCATTGCAAATTGGTTATTTCGAAATCATTTTGCAAAATTGTGAATAAGAAGTTGACTTCGTGAAATACATACAAGGTTTTCAGTATGGAAAAAATTACTTTTTGTGCAGAGAAATTGCCATTTTGATGTGGACAATGGTGGTATTCATCATTGATATCACACTACAATTCCACAGTTTTCAAACATATGGAATGGTCGGAATGGTCCGCTCAACACTTGCATGGACTGGAATGGAACCGTATAAGCAATCAGCTATTACAACAATATGAAAAAATAATTGAATTCATCAAGAAATATCACTGGCTTTTATGAAGGAGATGGAATTCTAGTGAAGGGGCTGGGAAAAGAAGATATGGTTGGAGAGGCTGCTCAGAATGAACAATATCATCGATTTACATTAACAAGGATCTCCAGCAATTGAGGACTTGAAGTTATTCTCAAGATCGAATCATTGCAACCAACATTCATACAATGATTCTAATTGTGCTTCAGAAAATGTATATTATATTATTATAAGCTAGGTACTGGTGTCTTCATTGTAAACAATAAAAGTTCATGCAATAATTCGAGTTTTTTCATCAGGGAAAAATGAGGTTCTGGAATATGCACTTCAACAAATAAATTATTTTCAAATAAAACACAGAAACTCAAAACAAATGTCGCCATATTTGTTGTCATTGTTGTTCATACTCGCAAGACTTGTAAAGTAAGCCACCAGAGGCCGCACACTTCGTGATTTTCGCGAATAGTTTGTGGAATTCGTATCTTGACAACATGCTTCTTGTTGACAACTCATGGTGACAGCAAATATCAAACTGAAATTTATGAAAATAGCTTTGAAAATGGTAACGGTTATGGAACGAGGAATCGAGAAAAAATCCCAAGAAACTATTGATACTGCTTCTGCAGTGATTCTCAACTTGCAACCAGTGAGATCCAGAAATCTGTATGATGCAGCCTGTATTCGCTTCAGAGAAGGGTGTTCCGGAGAGAAAGCGCAGAGCTATGCGGAAAATCTAAAGTTGGTATAAACTATCTAGGGAGAAAATATGTCACATTATCTCCCTAAATACGAGACCTCTGCCCCTCTTTTGTTACCAGAGAAACTTACTTCTACTCCCGCCGTCGTAAAAATACAATTTTTCATTTATTTCATTGACACAGGTCCATTGCAAATGGGGATTTTTGACTGCAATAAAGCACCCCGCATCTGCTAACACCCAGTATACACATTTGTATTACTCGTAAGAATTTGCGTATGTCCTGATATCAGCTATATCACTCTCCGGAGGAAGCGATAAAGAAGTTCTATAGGCTTTTTTCTTCCTGAGGGAACCAATTCATTTTTCAAGTGACGACACCGTCCCATTCCCTATTTCATCCCCTAGTCTAGGGGCGTGCGCATACTGTTGGGCGCTAAAATTGATTGAAGAATATTTAGATATATATAAAGAGTTAGAAGGGGAAATGGTGTTATTCATTAGTCGTGCGTCCTATCAACAGGTAGCATAGATAAACTGATATACTGGGTGAGTTGGAATTCACTTTTTGTGCTTTTAATATTTTATGAGCCCATACTTGAAAGATAGATTGTGTCCATTGACTTGCGAGCTATTTTGAATTTTTTCACTCTGAGCAAATGAAAACATGATCAAACAAATGCAGAGCAAAAATCATTTAGTTCATGTATGGTTTGTTTGGCAGCCCTGTATTATTTCTCTTATTTTAATCACCCTATGCAAGGTGATGTTTCTAAAAAGTAGTTTTCGACCATATATGACGAATCTTTGATTCAAAAGACGACGAACTAATATGGTTTTTACATAGCATTCCATTCAACTAGGTTTTTCACAAAAGCCGTTATGTGAATTCACCTAGAATGTACAAATGTAGTTTAATGTCATGTAAAAGTACAGTACCTCGAGTGAAATTTGGTTTAGAAATAAAATAATGGAAGTCTTTTGATATTTTCAAAACATTTGGTGTCTACGTGAAATTTTTTCCATCGGACATGAAAAATATTTACCTGTTTGAAAGCACATATGATTTTGCGTGTGATGAAAGCTGAACTTGATTATTGAGGTAGAGGAAGCAATGATTGTAGGTATATGCCCCAGATATTTTAGAAAGAGAATAGTTATTCATTATATACAAGGGAAAAAGTAGTATATAGATTTTAGCTCGAGCCTCTGTAGCGGAGGGAGACCAAATATTTATCTCGTGTATAATACACTATTTTTCTCTGTGACAGGACAAAGAACGAGTCAATTTTGGGAAGATATCATATTATATTGATATGAGAAAACTATCGACGTCATATTTGAAGTTTTTAATAGGAAGTCGATATTTTGGATCAATCAATCAATCAAATGAAACTTGCCTCCATATTAACATAAAAACATACATAACATGTTACAGGGCGTTTTAATTTTCTAATATATTACATAATTTAACACCCTGTAAGAGCTTCTGTCTGTTAGGTAATTATGTTTTTATTGTTAAAATGGATTGAAGTTTCATTTTATTGATGAATACAATCCATTGATCCGAAATATTGACAAAATTAATGCACATTGAAATCAAAATGATTGTGCAGATTTATGTTTAACTTGAAATATATCGAAAAATAATGACTTTATCGCCATGAAGAAAGAGTACAATATCTACGTCAAAATTGTTGGAGAATCGAAAATTTGTGATAGAATTGCAATTCCGCCAGTGGCGTAGAATTTGTGTGTGATGTATAATACTTACACTTCCCTTCAAATATGAAAGTGATACGTCAAATAGTTTTGAAGAACTGGGCAAAAAACATTTCTCAACATTTTTAAATAAAACACCCTGATGTAACTCAGACAGGAGACATATTTTATCTAGGTGATTTGGGTTAAATCTTCATATTTTGAGTTCGGGATTCTATGGTTGAAATATTTCCAATTAGTAATGAAACACCCTGTATAATCTCCGATTCTCTATCCGGGTGTACTATAATATACTCGGTGTCCCATGTGAAATATAAAAATATTTGTACTCTTCACATCGGAAACTTCATGTTATGTTAATTAAATGTAGAGGACACCTACAGTACTTTCGAATATTTCTCAACCAGAATGGGAAGAAGATATTCTAGCTCTCTGAATTATTTCATTCTACTGAAACATAGGTATAGGTATAGGTGTACATACTGCGGGTTATGATAATATATTTGAATGAACATTATCTGAAGTAGGTACTATTAGGAAGTAGATAGAACACATATACTGACTTGCGCTTTTTAAACATTTTTTTTAAATGAGTACATTTGATACTCAATCCATTAAATAATAGCGAGATTGTATTAAATAAAAATGTAAATTTTCAAACTTTGTCACACATTCAAGTTATAATCAGATTGTTACTGCGCTTTCATTAAGCAAATGCAACTCAATTGGATTATAAATATTCAGCAAAATTGACACTATGGAAAAATTTATCAGATTAACTCGAAGTGGATGCAAATTCTGTTTGAAATGTACATTAAGGCACTGAAGTAAAATGAATAATCTTTCGGTACTCTTTAGTCTGAAGGCATATAAGAACGGGTGTGTTATTATATACAGTGTGACTCATTCAATAAAAACTTTATACATACCGTGTTCATAATCTCGTCATTTGAACATAATGGAATCATTTCACGGGACTCTCAATGCTGCAAAATCTTTTATTCAATTCTGAGACAGACATACAGTGTGTCTCAGCTGAAACTTGTCACCCCCAAAATCTCCGATGTCGTTGAAAAAATTGAAAATTGCTCGAACAGGTCGATTTCAATTTGGCGGGGGACACATTTTTCTGCAATTATCATATTCCAAAGTTGAAACCTTGAAGCATAACGGGCATCAACTCTCGATTTTCAAAGGGGACACCCTGTATATCATTGCTGTTTTAGATTCTCCCTGAAGAGCTGTTTCAATCAATGTATCACACTTGCTGTTTAGCTGAAATGATTCTCAATTTAATAAATAAAATTATTGAAATGTTATACCTAATTGGAACATTAATCTCTTCAAGAGCGAATAACACAAAAAGCGTTGAAGTTAGACAATTTGATAAAGAGTATATTTTTCTTCTGTCATGGAAGATATAATGTAAATTATCGAAGTCACAGAGTGCCACTAGCGCTCTCTGTGAGCAATCACAAAATAAGTCGCAAATTCATAGTCCCCATGTCAGAAAACCTAGAAATACAAAATTTTATGTTCATACTGTAAAAAGTAACAAAGTTATTGTGAAATTTTGAAATAAAATCTCCCCCTACAGCATATTGGGCTAAATCTCATTATTCTTGTGTTTACTATCTGTAGTTCAGAGATTTCCCATTCTCAATGAATTACCCTGTATGCATCCTAACCCAAATAACCAATCATAACAATGTTGTTTTTCTGCAACCGACACAAAAGTCGTTCATTATGATATCAAAATTAGCTCTCAAATTAACATTTCTATTACTGACACAAAAATAAGTATGTTGCTAGGCAACATATTTAGTTCCTAGGAGCTAAAGTTGAACTTTAGTACCTAGGAGTTGAAGTTGAACTTTAGCTCCTAGGAACTGAAAAGGATGTACTGGACGTCATCAAGAATAAACAACATTGTGACGGTTGGTTATTTGGGCTGAGACGCATACCTGATTTGTTTCCGATTTCGGCAGATTTGGCATTTCATACCGATGCTGGAGATATAAATACACCTTATTATAGTTAAGTATTGGAATTATAAACATCTCAGTTAAGTATTTTTGTTTCGATCAGGGAAGCCTTCAAGATTCAAATACTTGCTTGATCTGTATTTCATTCGTTAATCTCGGGATGGATAACTTGTTTTTGAATAATCACGGCAAGCAATACATTTTTTGTCTCAAACAACGATATTGTTTAGCTTCATTTGATAATCAAGTCGAACACAGTGTAGTATGGAGAGGAATAAATAATCGCTATTATTATTGTTGATATGCTCACTAACCTAACATTTTCCACTTCTTGTTCCTATAGCTGGCACTGGCGCGGTATTTGCCATTAGAGCACTTGGCCCATACACAAATATGTCACTTTGTGGTTGTATTTATATTGAAACCATATTTCGAACATCCTTGAAAATTGAATAAACCTGCTGTTAATGCAGGTAGAATATTCTCACCACACGGAATATTTGTTGCATTGCATATACATATGGCACGGCATTGGTGGACTTCACATATCTATTTGAGTTGATTGTTTCGGTTGCAGAAAATGAGCATGTTTCATTCGGATCAAAAGTGACTTTGTTCGACTCGCAAATTTTGCTTTCGCTCGGCTTCGCTAAACGCTCCGCCTCGCAAATGCAAAATTCGCTTGTCAAACAAAGTGTCACTTTTGATCCTATTAAAACAATCTACTATTATTCTTGATAATGACCTAGTTCATCCTTTTTGGTTCCTAAGAACTGAAAGTGTTGCCTAACAACATACCTATGTTTATTTCAGTTATAGAAACATCGATTCAAGAGATAATATTGGCATTAAAATGGACGACTCCCTATAGATCCTTACAATCAGTCGGCATACTGTTTGTTGTGAAATTGTGAACCCTAAAACATAATCTATGTTCCGAATTTCATCTGAATATCTCGGAAACTGAAAGATCTATAAGGAAAAAAAGAAATAATCTCGAAATTTAATTGGTCTGTAGATCGGTAACGGAGCATTTTGAGACATATAATATAAGATCTGATCTGACCAACAGGCTCCTGAAATCTTGATACTAAATTTCAGAACACCTTGTATATTATTTATGGCTCTCTCCAACATGATTTTTTTCATTGCCTAAACCAAAGCGCCATTACCCCTCCCCCCAAGATAAAACATTATCGACGCCCCTGGTTCGACCTACATAATAAGGTTTCTGAAGAAGACTTGCAGTTGATGCCCTTATCCTTATCTCCATCTCTCATCCCTAAAAGAAATGAGCCTTCCCAAATGATGAACTCGAATTTTCGTTATGAAGAATTTCTTACCATCATGGTAAATAACCATCCTATACACATTGTACAGAGAGTCCATTTAAATCCCACGTTCACGATTATACAGAGTGGCTTATTATAATGGCATGAGAATTCAAAGTTTCTATGAACATAATAATGAATATTGAAAAGGAATATGTTCAGATATATTCATGAACACAAAAAAATTGATATAAATATACAGGGTGATTCACATAAGAACCGACATAGAGCAGGGGCATGTAGGGGGTCCCAAAATATGGCAATTTAACGCAACTTACCTCTATATCAAGTTGCTTTCTTGAGGAGTTATAGGCTTTGAAAGTGAAGTTATAAATTTTGAAAAAAATCAATATCTCCGTTATTCTTGAACTTGAGGCAACCAAATTTGGTACACTTTGTGGATCTATTTAGGGCGTTCCTAGACAGTAACTAGAGTTTAATTGAAATTTGTGAAGGGGGTATACCGGGTGGCGCACCATTAATATTCAACAGAATTTTGTTAACCCTTGAT